TATATGTTTGGAAAGCTGAGAATTTTCTTCTGAATAATAAATACTGAAAACTAAAATTATTGAACGAAAATCACACGTTTTCAAGGAAATCAAATGAAATTTTCTAACGAAATATTAACTTATAAAATATGTTCAAGTTTGAACAAAGTGTATGAAATCCAACTAATAAAGGTAATGATTGTTTGAAAAAACCATTTCATAGTACTTGTGTGAAAGAAGAAGTAAATTGTAAAAATATGTGTAAAACAATGTTTATAACCTTAAATACATTTACTGTAGTTTAATAACTTTAGATCCGATACTGTTTTTAAAATAATTAATGCACTTTTTTAAATAAGTTAAGTGAAAGTTGTGTGTTGCGGGCACTATATTTTTTTTCCTCAGTTGGAACCATTATTTACTCTTACAGCATTAATGTTTTAGGCTGAATGGACCTATTGCTGGTCGTTTTATTAATATTATGGGTTAAGTTAAGATTGATTAACCTTAATAAATATCTTAAAGAAAGTTACAAATTTTGCTAATGAACATAATATATATTTTATAACCACAAAACATTATATTTTATATCCATAAAAACATCTGAACACATTAATTATTTTACATATGATATCGATTGTTATCAAATTAAATTAAATCATATGGTTTGTCCTACTCCAGACCTCATTTTGATTCCTAAATCTTTACAGTGAATATTTTCATGTCCACTGCCACAACAATTGTTTTATCAATTTAATTTTAGATCGATCATGTTTCTTAACTTGTAATCGGCGCATCAAATAATAATTTCAAATTTTATTGTCATTCTTCATTGACCGAGTTAACAAATATTTGTATCCAGTTTTTTTTATTTTTCCTTCTACCAATCGAAACAGATTTATTCAAAGATTTAGAAATTCTTGAGTTTCTTAATGGAGTACAACCTTTGTATGGAAAACGTTCACTGAAATAATAAATTGTATGTGTACACATTTAGTCCAAAGAATAATATTTGATGAATGGTTATCTTTTGCGGATTCGTTTAACAAATAAATGTTTAGTTGAAGTGCTTTGTTTTAATATATTATTTGTAAATTTATAATCTATAATTAATGTACACACCAGATTGGACGCGAGAAGTTATTTTATAATAGAGATATTACTAGTTATTCTAGTTGCTATTGGGAACTACTGCACAGAAAATCTTGACCTATCGACACCACTTTACATTTAGGAATATTCATGAAGCAGTGGACTATAGAGAATGCAAATACTGAAACCAAAATAGATTTATGTAATTCATAAAATAGATCAATATAACCAATACAGCAGCATAAAAATATGGACGTTTTTACTTTCCTACCTATACTAGGTAAGGAAAGTATTGCAATCGGGTCAAATTTCCGACATGCGGTTTTCGACGGATCTATACGTTTCAGAGCTCCCTAAGTCCGAAAAACACATTTTTAGCAATTGGTCTGTCTGTATGAAGATTTTCTCGGAAACTACAGAACCTATTTTGTTGCTTATGTTTTTATTTTGTAGGGTTTTGACTACTGATGCGTGTGACAAAAATTCGGTACTCCATGCGCAATAAATGAAAAACATGTTTTTCTATAGACTGTAGCGCGAAAACGGCTCTAACGATTTCGATGAAACTTTCCTATAATATTCTAATCATTGTCCTTTCAATTTTCGTATACAGACTAGATTTCCGAAAAAAATCAGGAAAACAAGAGATTCGTTTAGAAACATTTTTCATGATGCTTAATGTAAGAACGTATCAAAAGTCCTGATGTCTAGGTTGTAAGACGAGGGAGAGGGGAGGGGGGGGGGGAGAGGAGGGTTAGGAGGGAGGATGTAAGGTCACAATTTTTGGATTTTCACTTATAACTTGAAAACGGTTCATCGAAGGAGAAATTTTACCTTTAATAAATTGATGTTCACAAAATTCTCTAAAACTTTAACTCTATAGATTTTATATGGATCCCAAACAGTTTTCGAGCTACATACACTGACAGGCAAAAAATTCCACCCACTTGATTTTTTCATGTTTTCATCTAAAAATATTTTTGCTTTGGATTGGTCTATTGTTTTTAATGAATAAATAGGTAATCTTTTTGTTTGTTTTCAATTAGGAATGTTAATATAGAGGACAATAACTCTTAATCCTTAATTCAATGAAATGATTCTAGATTCCAATGTTTACTTTCTATGGAATCAAAATGTTTATTCAGTATCATTAGTTCAGTGCCGTTTCTTGCAGCACATTTCTTAGTCTTCGGCTTTTAATTTTTTCAATATTAAGTTTAAAAATGCCTCTTAGTGCTGAGGATGTTAAGCATGGTGTGGCACTTATCGATGATGGACGTTCCATTAGATATGCAGCTAATGCCATCGGAGTTTCATATGAAACTTTACGAGACGCCGTTAGGCATTTTCGGGAAACTGGTTCTTACAATAGAAGGCCCGGTTCTGGACTGCCTAGGGTAACAGAACCATTTTATTTAATTTTAGATGAAAACATGAACAAATATGACATTTTCGAAACAAATCATTTTTACACCAAACATTCCTTCTTCATATGAGGAAGAAACTCATTTAAAATAAGTTGTAGAGAATTAAATATCCTATTAGAATATATATATATATATATATATATATATATATATATATATATATATATATATATATATAGAGAGAGAGAGAGAGAGAGAGAGAGAAATATATATGCATAAGCCAATAGTGCCACAAAAAATGACCGTTTATTTACCAACGAAAATTGATTTTCAACATTAGTTTCAACGAATTGAATAACTTGATTTTACCAGTATTTTAACTGCCTAAAGCAATTATTTTTTCATGTTTTATTATTCTCTGACCATTCAGCTTTAATAAAATGCCAATTATGAAGAAATTCAACCAAATGCCATTTTGGGACAGTGCGTTACCTTTTTTTTTGTGGGACCATTATCTTTTTTTAAATAAATAGTTACAAGAAACACAAGGATATGCAATTTATAGGGATGTGGGAAGAGTGCATGGTAGCGGGGGTCTGGTCCAACGTGTACCTTTACTGTGGGTAAAGATGCCATAAACGAACTACCCTTGCCAAAACCCGCATGTCCAAAATGGACGAAAACGTGAATCCGTATAAAGTTGAGAGTTATATTAAGAAGTTATTGAGAACAATGAGGTTTATAATTGTATATATTTAATGTAACAAAATAGAATAAAATTATCATGAGACTTTTATTATCCGTAAAATACAATATTAAATTTTTGAAGTTTCGTGATTTTTTCGACTTTATTCAATAATTGGATTTAAAATGTGTCCACACATATAAATAGACAAGCTAACGAAATTTGGGCTCTATCATCCATTACACAGTTTATACAACTAAAATCGCAACTCATCATTCTACTGTTTTTAATACTTATGCTGATGACAGTTATGTGTTATCTGTCAATAATGGATCTTATCTGTTGCATATCAATTTCTACAGTTACATATTGCAGCCATTGAAGAGTGATGTCAAAATTGGAGAATCACAATTAATCCAAATAAATACCAACAATTAATTTTATCCTTCGTCGTAAATCTACTCCATACAGTATCCTTTAACAATTTTTCGCTTATCCTTGTGGGACAAATCTGTTACCAAGGAATCCTTGGCAAACGACTTAGATGGAATCCTCATATTATAACGAACAGAAAAGAAAATGCTAATAGATTCCGACTACTATAACACTTACTAAACGCTCTAAATTTCAAATAATCTACAAAAAAAAAAAAAAAAAAAAAAAAAAAAAAGCATGTACACCAACCATCATTATCATTAGGTCCATTTGGACATATAAGATTGATCTTTGGGGCTCCACAAAATTATCGAATTCTTCCCGTATCCAATCCATTTACAGTTATTGTGTAGTGGCGGATCCAGGAATTTTTTTCAGAGGAAGAGCGACGCAGATTTACTTGTTGTATACAGTTAAAATATCAATATAAAAAAAGTTACATTTAGTTGAAAAATATACTGAGGCAAAAATGTTACTCAATATCCTATTTTAATAATTCTCTCCCTGTTGAACAAATCCGATACCTTGGACTTCATTTGGACAAACGTCTAACTTGGAATCCTCATACCAGACTGAAACGACAAGAAACTCGACGTTTTCGACTACTCCAACACTTACTAGACAAATGCACTAAACTTCCCCTTAATTACAAAAGACTCATATACTTGACTATAATAAGACCTATTTGAACTTACGGAGTTGAGCTATGGGGCTCCACTAAACCATCGAATTCCTCTCGCATCCAATCCTTACAATCCAAAATCCTTCGTAAAATCCTCAATGCTCCTTACTTTGTCACTAATAAAATAATCCATAAAGACCTCAATGTTCCATATGTTTCCGATTTGGCCAAATCCAGATACCTATCCTTCCATAATAAACTTCATAACCATCCGAATCCTCTTGTTTCTAACCTCGCTTCCTCTTCGATTCCTGATAACTCTCCGAGGCGTCTGAAAAGAAGATGGCCTCGTGATCTTCTCATGTAGACAAATTATTAGAGTGCTACCAGTGGGTAGTTTCTCAACAAGCGTGTTTCATGTAATAATATTTCTCTGTACAAATTTACTTGATGTATTCATACTAATACAGTTGTAAATATCATAATAAAAGTTTAAAAAAAAAAATAATAATAATTCTCAACATTTTTTCGTTAACCAAAGTTGACATTATTGCATTTAACAGTAGCATAACCTCCTGCAAATGCGATTTCCCTTTGAATAAATTAATATCTTGGCGCCTCTTACAGATTAAGATAGTTTAATCTTACTTTTATGAAATTTTAATACAAATTTCGTAATTTCAAACAACTCTATAATTTTTTCAGTTCAATGGGCCACTATCTCAGAAGCATATAGAATTGGAGGTCTGTAAGTTTATAATTTATAATAGAACAGCTCCATCTAATATATATTTATACATTTTCTTTTGTCTTGATATACAGATTGTGGAATTAAATACGAAAAACCTCGTGCACTTATTGGCGACGGAATGGAAACGGAGTACAATCAGTTTCCATGGCACGTGGCCATATATAGGAAGCACAAAACTTCTGGCTATGAATATATTTGTGGAGGAAGTATTATTGACAGTGAAATAATCATCACAGGTAGGTCAATATGAGCAGGCATACAGGTATAATATTTATTATTATTTTAATTTTTTTTAAGGATTTGTTCAACTTAAATCTTTCACAGGTCGATATTCACAGATCCCAGGCTTAGCACCCATGAAATATCGAGTTGATACTTATGCCAATATGTTGTACCTAATTTAGTCTAATTTGTAGATTCGGCTACGTGGTACTTGGTGGCCCATCACCAATAGAATTTTAAGTTAAAACTTATACCAATAATTTGTACTTGATTCGTATTATTTGTACCAAAATATTAGAATTTATACCAATTAGGAACCAGAGATACAAAGCTCGTAAATTAGGCATCGTAATACTTTATGGTCCGGCACCAAAGTCCAAGTCCTCACAACCCAAAACCCTCCCTACATTCTGGGACTCCTTACTTTACGTTCCTTCATATACTCTCTCAATACCAAGTCTCAACCTATATATTTATATATCCCCTCCCATAAAACTACTTCCTTCGGCAAATCCTTCGTCATTCATGTTGCCTCGTTTTGGAACGCTCTACCTAACTCCATACGTCAATCCTCGTCCACAAATTTCTTCAAACAACTCCTGTTACACCACCTATTACTTCAAACCACCACATACTTCTGCAAACCTGAAAAATTCACTCCAGAAGGGTACAAATTCTAAAATTTGGTACAAAATTAGTACACGCTAGATACAAATTATTGGTACAAGTTTCAACTTGAAATTCCATTGGTGCAGGACCACAAAGTACCATGTGGCCTGATTTACGAACTTATTAGTCCCTCATCTTTAGTTCCTGATGGGTACAAATACTAATATTTTGGTACATAATAAAATGAACAAGGTAAAAATATTGGCATAAGTTTTAACTTAAAATTCTACTGAGACAGATTGTAATATTTCTCAATAAAATGTTTAAAAAAAACAACTTAAAATTCTATTGGTGACGGGCCATAAAGTACCATGTGGTCGATTTTTACGAGCTCAATTCTCCGGTTTCTGATTGGTATGAATTCTAATATTTTGGTAATAATTAATACGAATCAGGTACAAATTACTGGAATAGGTTTCAACTCGAAATTTTGAACATATCTCTGGTATGGAACTTTTACGAGGTTTATGTCTCCGTTTCCTGATGGGTACAAATTCTAATAATTGAGTTACAAATTATTGACAAAGGTTTCAACTTGAAATTCTATAGCTGCCGAGCCATCATATCCTTGGTCCAACACTTTTACAACCTTTGTGTCTCCTTTTATTGCTAGTTTCAAATTCAAATATTTTGGGATGCAAATTAATAATACTTAAGTACAAATCATTGGCATCAGTTTTAAATTAAAATTCTATAGGTGACGGGTTATTAAGTACCACGTAGCCGAATTTACGAGCTTTATATCACCAGTTCCTGACGGGTACAAACTCTAATAATTAAGTACAAAATAGTACGAACCAGGTACAAATTATTAGCATAAGGTTCAAGGCATCCAGCTATCTTTCTCAGATGCATCTTGGCTTTCTCTTAGACGACTATATGGCCAACTAACTATATAGACCACAGACGGATCTACGGGAGGGGCTTTCGGGCTGAAGCCCCCCCCAAAAATTAAATTTTGGATCCGCTATTGATATAGACTACTACATAGAAAATCGAAATTTTCTATTGAAAACAAATTACTGATCTTCACGACAATACTGGAACCAATTTCGACTCACCGACTAGAACTGTGGGGGACACAAAATTTTCTAACATCGAATGCATCCAATCCTTTCAGTCCATAGTCCTTCAAACAATACTCCTTTTTCGATTATCCTTTTTATTCAACCACCAAACCCCTACACCAGGACCTCAACATCCCATTTTTCCTAAACCTTATCTCTGAAAAATTCTCCAAATTTCACCAGAACCTAACTTAGCATCCGAATCCTCTTGCACAGTCCCTATCAAGCAGCACTCATCCCTATAATCCTCTAAGAAGATTAAAAAGGCAGTGGCCCCGCGACCTGGCAACCCATTCCTGGAGTAATTCCTGCCAACTCACTCTGTATATACACATCCAAACATAAATAGGTATAAGTACTAATCTGGTTTTCAGCAAAATTTACTTCATTTATTCGATTTTTATATTTTACAGAAAAATATTAAATATGTATTATTATTGTTTAATTATTTATTTATTTTTTATCCCAGCTGCTCATTGTATTTTTAACGATACGACACAGAGTATTGACTACACCCCAATGATGGTAGTCACAGGAAAGCATTACGGTGCTTGGGATCGGCAAGATGAACGCGGACGCGGACAACGATTACAGGTAATACCAGTGTTTTATTGCTCGATTCACGGGGGAAGAAAAAGGTATTCTTGTTTGTTTCGTTGTTCATAATGCTTCCATTTGTAAAGTCACCATCATATTAACTCCTGATTACTTTTTTTTTTTTACAAACTGCTAATGAGTGAGCAACTGCCACGAGGCGTCGACCGATCTTCCGCTTGTTGGAAATTAAAAACTATACAAAATGTATTAAAATAATTAAATTTAGCCTATCAATAACGTAACTCTATTAGAGCTAACTGTATAAGCTGTTGAATGAAATAAAATTCAAATATTACATGATGTAGAATAGCTTAAGACATACATTTAATTTCTTTAGGAAGGGAGAGTGATGACGTCATCACCTGAGGGCGCCGAATGTTAAGGTCGGCACTGCATTAACTTAAACTTGTTTTTTAATATAACAGCCGACCCGTGCGAATATTTCGCACAAACCTTATATTTGAATGTTCCATTCAGTAATACTTCTATGCAAAGGTTTAATACTTCTATTTAGTAAGTTATCAGTTTATAAATATAATAATCTATACCCATTCATAGGTTAGCCCTTTCTAGTTTCATTAAATATATAATTATAATATTATATTTTTTCTTAACTTTACAAAAGCTTCTAAAAATTGCCTTTAAATATCTGATGAAAGCTAAATACTTTGAATTTATTTCTCTGGAAGTTACGTTTTGATCTAGCAGTCTGTATTAACAGAAAAAAAGAAATGTTCCTTTTGTCATTAAAAATAATCAAGTAAATTCTTAAGTAAATGATAAACATCTAATAGCTGATATATAGATAATGTTTTATTTAAAATGAAGTATATCATTCCATATTTATATCAATATAACAAATTTAATAATTAATTTTACAAACCCAAATGTTTTGAAATTAGCTAGAATAATAATAAGTATTGATACGATGTATACTGCCTCAGAAAGAAAAGGGTCATTGACCAAAATTTTAAATTCCGAATGAAGAGTAGAAGAGAAAATTGAGTAGATTAAGAAATACTTTTATATCATTTTCTGTTAAATAAGAAAATCTAATAATAAATTTATAATATCGAGGAAAAAGCTTTATTTTACCCTTGTATATTTATTCCATGCTTTAATTCATTTAAATGATCCAAGCATGGAGTATATATAAGGGTAAAAAAAAAAAAAAAAATGCTTTTTCCTCCATATTATGAATTTTATTATTAATATATACCCTTGAAAATTTTAAAGATTAAAAAAAAAATCTACTAAAATCTACTTGATGAAAACGATCGTTACTACAATAGATTTAAAGTTTTTGAGTAATCCAAAACTGAAATGAAGAAAAAAATCTTTAAAGTAGAATTAATACTAAATGTTTAGAACGGTATATCTTTGCACCACATAGTCCGATTTAGAAGATTTTTTTTTACATTTTGTAGGGATTTTGGTTACCTTTCAGTCTGTAAACCATTGGTTACCTTTCTGGCATAATGGGCCAAAAATTGCGTCCTGTCCGAGTTATTCCCAAATTATGAATTCATTTGGAACGTCTCGATTCGTAGAGACGGTACCATCATATGGGTTGAAACCTACCACTTTTACATTCACTTTTATTTAAGTCCAGGTATAAAATTAGGAATTAAAATTCCGATTCGCGCACTCTACGTGATATTCCCTTTCTATTGATACCTCATTCGTCAAAATCCATCACTCCTCAGAGCCGGAAAAGGGATATATATTTGAGAAATAATATATATGATAATTGGCCAGTGCGCATAGTTGGTTCGTGAGTCGAATAATAAATCGAAGGCGAAATAATAAATAATAAACATGACGTAGAGGTATCCCAACTACAAGCACCTTTTACAAGCCCGCGAATGTTTCTTTTACTAAGTGGTAAAAATTTAAAAAATATTAACAAATATGAAATTAAGCAAATTACTCACGCATGAGGTTACTACGGTAGGGGCATTTAATGTATGTTTTTTTCTCTTAGAAAGCTCCTATCGCAGCTGAAGTGTCATTTATAAAATAAGATTTTTTTTCATCACAAGCAGTGGCCCACGGAACTTAGTTGAAGTCTCAAAGCAGCCCACGGAACTTAGTTGAAGTCTCAAAGCGGCCCATGGAACTTAGTTGAAGTCTCAATGCGACTTAGTTGAAGTCTCAAAGCAGCCCACGGAACTTAGTTGAAGTCTCAAAGCAGCCCACGGAACTTAGTTGAAGTCTCAAAGCGGCCCATGGAACTTAGTTGAAGTCTCAATGCGGCCCACGGGAAGTCTCAAAGCAGCCCACGGAACTTAGTTGAAGTCTCAAAGCAGCCAACGGAACTTAGTTGAAGTCTCAAAGCCGCCCATGGAACTTAGTTGAAGTCTCAATGCGGCCCACGGGACTTAGTTGAAGTCTCAAAGCAGCCCACGGAACTTAGTTGAAGTCTCAAAGCAGCCCATGGAACTTAGTTGAAGTCTCAAAGCGGCCCATGGAACTTAGTTGAAGTCTCAAAGCCGCCCACGGAACTTAGTTGAAGTCTCAAAGCGGCCCATGGAACTTAGTTGAAGTCTCAATGCGGCCCACGGGACTTAGTTGAAGTCTCAAAGCAGCCCACGGAACTTAGTTGAAGTCTCAAAGCAGCCCACGGAACTTAGTTGAAGTCTCAAAGCAGCCCATGGAACTTAGTTGAAGTCTCAAAGCGGCCCATGGAACTTAGTTGAAGTCTCAAAGCAGCCCACGGAACTTAGTTGAAGTCTCAAAGCGGCCCATGGAACTTAGTTGAAGTCTCAATGCCGGCCACGGAACTTAGTTGAAGTCTCAATGCCGCCCACGGAACTTAGTTGAAGTCTCAATGCGGCCCACGGAACTTAGTTGAAGTCTCAATGCGGCCCACGGGAAGTCTCAAAGCAGCCAACGGAACTTAGTTGAAGTCTCAAAGCGGCCCACGGAACTTAGTTGAATTCTCAATACGGCCCACGGGACTTAGTTGAAGTCTCAAAGCAGCCCACGGAACTTAGTTGAAGTCTCAAAGCAGCCCATGGAACTTAGTTGAAGTCTCAAAGCGGCCCATGGAACTTAGTTGAAGTCTCAAAGCAGCCCACGGAACTTAGTTGAAGTCTCAAAGCGGCCCATGGAACTTAGTTGAAGTCTCAATGCGGCCCACGGGAAGTCTCAAAGCAGCCCACGGAACTTAGTTGAAGTCTCAAAGCAGCCAACGGAACTTAGTTGAAGTCTCAAAGCGGCCCATGGAACTTAGTTGAAGTCTCAATGCGGCCCACGGGACTTAGTTGAAGTCTCAAAGCAGCCCACGGAACTTAGTTGAAGTCTCAAAGCAGCCAACGGAACTTAGTTGAAGTATCAAAGCAGCCAACGGAACTTAGTTGAAGTCTCAATGTGACCGTGGGCAAAAGATTTGGAGAGCCCCGCTTTAAACCAACATGTAACATCTTCACAAATTACAATAAGCTGTATCTTTGCTAATAATATTCCGATTCGATGATTTTTTTTTTCATTACGTGTAGGGAATTTAGTACTCTTTTAAATAATCATGGGTGTAATCAAGAATAAAGTGTATGCTTTTCGATTTATTTGAAAATAAAATTTCTTTTCATTCATACTTTTTTATTTGAATTTTTGTGGTGAAGTGAATATTTTTCCAACTAAAAAAAAAAAATTATTTTCTAACACCATAAAAATTGAAAATCGTACATATATCAGTGCTTAAAAAAATACCCACAATGAAATATAACTAAACATAGTGGCATCCTTACTCACTGGCACTCTTATTGGAAAAAAAATGATACTTAATTATTAATTATAATTTAATAACTAATTAATATACAGTCGTAGAAGGAAATGGTTCGTGGCGTTTAATTGCAATAGATTAATGCAAGCGGCAAAACGTGTAGTAATTACTTAATATTAGTAATAAGCTTTTTATAAGCTGTAATGTGCAAGTCTTAGGCATTTGGCGCCCCCTGGCAATAAAGTCATATTCATAAAAAATTATTTAAATTTTTTTAACTGTGTTAAATGAAGCAATATTTGAATTTTATTTCTCTAATTCAATTGCTTTACTAACAGCCTAAAATTAATTATTCTCATGCGCTTTGTAAGATTTGTTTAATTTATAACAAATGAGGAGGGCCTTTCCAAGTAGGAGTTAGTGTTGTCCAAATGCGAGACCGAAACGAGTGTTGGTCTTGCAAACTCAGTCTCGGTCATGGTCTTATTCTTGCGCAATAGTCTCGCAACAGTCTTGCAGTTACTTATCAGCTTATTGCTATAGAGATATTACTGTACTTTTTTAAATAGGAGAAACCTAACTAAGCCCGATTGATAAATTAGAGGAGTTAAATGCAAAAGTGTATTGGTTATAGCAATTATTAACATACAGTAACTAAGACTGTTAAGTATTAGTAACTATTTTGACTTAAATTTTATTTGAAAAATCGATTTTTTTTACCAGGCCCGTCTTGGTCTTGCAACAGTTGAGCGGCCTCGGTCTTGGTCTTGCAAGATTTTGGACTACACTAGTCGGAGTAATTACCCGAGCTGCCCGGTCCTAGGGGCGCTACTGATGCCCAGTCTATTATTTTTACTTTCATTTCCCTTATCATAAAAATTAATATGTTAACTCAAAGTAGGGTTGTAAGTGAAAGATTTGCGAAGCGCGTAACGCACCAGATTATTTTATGTTGCTGTTGAAAAATCACTCTGGGTATAAGAACCCAATATATTATATCAGCATTTTTTTTAATTTTAAAGGTACATTCCCTTCAATTCTTCTTCTTATACATTTGAAATAATAGAAATAACTTATATTCCAGGTTATCAAAAAGAATATCCGACCTACCTACAGAGGTCTAGAAAGCCTGTACCAACACGATATTGCTCTTCTTGCACTTAGCGATCCGATTCAATTTTCGGACATTGTGATGCCCATTTGCATCGAATATGAGAGTTTGCACATGCCTACAAGCGAAGAATTAGGCATAGTGAGTAAATTTTTTAAGGTCTATAGAGAATTCAGATTTCTCTATTTGGTATTATTTTTAACGAAATAAGAGTTATAATTGCAGTAAGAGTTAAACTTAAAAAATTACGCTAACTGTAAATTGGTATGTGATACAGTTCGTTGGATGGGGCTATAACAGTGATAATGTTTTAAGTGAGGTCTTACAAGAAACTAGAGTACAACCAGTTAACTATATCGATTGCCGTAAGAGAGTGGAAAGAGGTACAACCTTTTTAATTACTCCGGATAAGTTCTGTACCCGAACTCCAGATGGTAAGTTGGAAAATTATTTTAAAAGAAAGTAGATATTTTTTTTGAAGAGTATTAACAGTATCTGGTTGGATAGATGAAAGTACGTTGGAAAAAGGAGACAGCGGCGGAGGAAGTGTATTCAAAAGGAGCTTTGGAACGGGCGAAAAGTACTACCTCTACGGCGTCCTCAGCACCAGCAGGCACGCCTCAAACAGTTCTTATCTTTTTACCAACATCAGCAGCCACGTACCCTGGATCAACAGCACGAAGCTGCAGCTCATCGATGAGAGCAAAGCAAGGCGAGGTGAATAGCATTTGAACCAGTTGGACAAAATTATCTAGAGCTAACCGCTAGGAGCTAACAGCTAATTCTGTAGCTAAACTAACTATTAGCGGAAACAGGCCACTAATTTTTAGCTATAACTTATTATTAGCTATCCTTATCACTAACAGCTAATTAGCTTTATCTATAGCTACAACTAAAAACTAATAGATAAATACATAAAAAATAAAATTGTATATATAATTGGTAATTGGTTGACTGTCGTGGATAATTACTCCAGGGAGTAAGGTTGGAGGCCGGTTAAGGCTAAAACGCTAGGTATGCCTTCCAACCGATGCTCCCTTGGTCCATAGTGTACCCGATGGTACTCATGTCGTGGATAATGAAGAGAAGAATAGTTGGGGTGTTCAGTCAAAAAGGAAGGCAAAAATAAATTATAATATTTATTTTTTACATATGCCGACGTTTCGACCTGAATTTCAGGCCTTCATCAGGGCTAAGAAAATAACCAGATAACAAGGTATGAGAAACATAAGTAACGATGGTAAAAAAGATAATAAACAATAAAAAAAAATAATAAAATAAAAAAAAAATAAAAAAAAATAATAAAATAAAAAATAAATAAAAAAAAATTATTAGAAAATGTTTTCAATTTTTTCTAATAATTTTATTTTATAACAAGAATTATAACAAGAATTATTTTTCTAATAATTTTTTTTATTTTATTTTTTATTGTTTATTATCTTTTTTTACCATCATTACTTATGTTTCTCATACCTTGTTATCTGGTTATTTTCTTAGCCCTGATGAAGGCCTGAACTTCAGGTCGAAACGTCGGCATATGTAAAAAATAAATATTATCATTTATTTTTGCCTTCCTTTTTGACTGAACACCCCAACTATTCTTCTCTTCAAAATTGTATATAATTGTTGTAATATACAGGATGTCTCATGGACGTTATCGATAATGTCAGGTACGGGATAGTGCCATTGATAATCATGTTTTTTTCGGATTTAATCGATATTAGGGGAGACAATAATGTTGTTGGAGGCCCTTATGTACAAATGTACAAAAAAAAGTAGTGTTTTTTTAGACACCAAAAGGCAAACTCGTTCCATCATAGTGTACAGCCACCAAGCAATAACCAAATGTTGAAATTATATATATATATATATATATATATATATATACACCATTTAACTTCTATATAGCAATATGGCCTTACTTTATGTAAAGATTCAATTTTAGTTTGAAATTCTAGTAGCCTGAAATTTATCTCAAAATCAAAAAAGCTGATTAACGTACTAATTTTATTTTTCAGTTTGCGGTATAAGGACTCCGATTAATTATACCATACCAGGTGGTTTCATAAGATCATACATGGATTACCCTTGGCTTGCAACCATATATATGAAGAAGAATGGCAAGTTCTTTGGGATCAGATGTGTAGGAACCATCATACATCAGAGAGCAATAATCACAAGTAATCTTCTTAAAATTATTTTTTTGTTTTAATGCTAATCAATATTTGCGGTGAGCGTATTAGGATTGGTTTGGTCTCGCTTTAATTTCAAAAGAATTATTTAAAGATTTTTAATATAAGTTATTAATTATCATAAAACCTTAGCTAGGTTGAACCTCCTACAAGCCATTGATCTAAAAATGTCATGTAGGCTAATCGTGGTAACTGAACCTCGATTAATATCATCTGATATATTATTAATGAATATATATCCCTTTCCCGACTCTCAAGAGTCATGGAATTCGACAAATGAAATCAATAGAAAAGGAATCTTACGTAGAATGCGCAAATCGTAATTTTGATTGTTAATTTTATACAAGGAATTAAATAAAAGTTAATGTAAAAGTGGGAGATTTACAATCATATGATGATGCCATTCCAACGAATAACTCGAATAATACTCGATTTGCGTAGTAAGGCTAGGGGAGGAGGATAGTACATAGCGGGCCTTAAGGATTGTGCTAAGGGGCTAGGATGATGGATTACGTTCAGGTGAAAATTTGAGAATCGTGATGGAATAACGTCAAAGAAATAAGGGATGTAAAGGTCATGATGTAAGGTTTTGTTTGTTATACAATAAGTAGCATTGACTATTATACGGAGGACTTGGACTCCACTGAAAGGATTGGATGCATTTGATATTCGAAAGTTTAGTTGTACCCCACAGTTCAAGTACGTAGGTCCAGATGGGTCGAGTATGGTCTTGTATATTAATAGTTTGTTTTCTATTCAGAGATTGGATTTTCTGTTAAGTAGTCTGTATAGCTGGCCAACTCGTCGGTTAAGTTCTTGTCTTTTAATTCTGGTATGTGGGTTCCAAGTTAGTCTTTTGTCTAAAAGGAATCCAAGATAATGTGTCCGAATTGTGTCTGAGACGGGGAGAGGTACAGAGTTGAAAAGGATATGTGGACAGGATCTGCATCGGAGGGTAAAGGTGACATGCTTGCATTTGGATTCGTTTTTGATGCACCAGTTATGGGGGCGGGGTGGCCGAATAGGCTAAAGCGTGTGCACAGCACCGCTAGTTGCCTGGCAAGCGGATAACAGAGATTTGAGATGATATAAAAAGTAAGAGTTCGCGTCCCGGTGCCGGAGGGGATTTTAAATTCCCCGCCCTCACCCCCCGGCCCGGGAAAATCCCGTATAGCCTAAAAGGCGAGGTAGGGAAGAACAAAAAAAAAAAAAAAAAAAAGATGCACCAGTTATGGAGATGTGTCTTTGTAGGTTTAAGGATGCTGTTTCAGGATCTGAGTGGGATAACAGGATGGCGGTATCGTCAGCGATTGTTGCCAGAAGGGTATCGGGATTGATTGGAATGTCAGCGGTGAAGATGATGAAGAGAACTAGGCCCAAGACACTACCTTGTGGAACACCATCCTAAACTGGATAATAATTGGAGAATGCAGTGCCGCAGCGGTCTTGAAGGGAACGATTTGAGAGGTAGGATTTGATGACTAGATGGATCGGGGTAAACGATTTGATGACTAGATGGATTGGGGTAAACGTTTTTTTTAGCTTGAAAAGCAAGCCATCATGTGGTGAAAAGCTTGCGGCACATCCAGAAAGGCACCGGTGCAATATTGCTTGTTTTCAAGCGCAGAGGATATATGGTCAACAACGCGAAGCCCTTGTTAAACAGTGGAATGTCTTGAGCGGAATTCAAAATGATGAGATGGGATATTGCGGGTTTCGAGTATGGGCAGGATGCGTTTGAGAAGGATTTTTCAAAGATTTTGGAGAGGATATAGAGCAAGCTTATTGGACTATAGGATGAGGTATTTATTGACAGGTTTAACTGGTTTAGGGAAGAGGATGATTATGGAGTGTTTCCATATCAGAGGAAAGTAAGTTGTGCGGCGGTTACGGTTGTATAGGTATGTGAGGAATATAATTGCTTTTTTGGGAGATTGTCTAAGAATCTGGGAAGTAAGGAGATCGTGTCCAGGGGATTTTCGAGGTTTTAGGTTGCTTATAAGGAATTTGAGCTCAGAGGAATTGGCAGCTCTAGGAAGCAAGGAGAGAGAGATAGGAGAAGAGAGGAATTCTTTAACTTCAGCAGTAAGGGTGGAATGGTGTTCGGAGTGGGGTGTGAATGTTTTGGATAGGTGTTTGGCAAATTCTTCAACTCTAGTCTCATCTGACAAAGCCCAGGTTCCATCATCGCATCGGAAGGGGTGGAAAAAAGAATGGTATTTTGGGATTTTTCTGGTGAATTTCCAGAGGGAGTTGTCATCGGTAGATAGGGAAGAAAGGTAGGATTTGTACGATTGGGATCTAAAGGACGCTAGTTCTTTTTTTACCTGTTTGGAATAATAATTGTATATTTTTCGATCATCAGGATGCCTGGTTCTTTGCCAGAGGGTCCTAGATTGGCGTTTGGATTTAATTAGGTCTTGGGGCAAAGGATTCTTTTACGGTATGTTTTAGAGGAGAGTGGTAAGGATGTAGTTCAAACTGCTTGTTGGATCAATGTGGTGTAGGAACTCACTGCATTATCTAGGTCTTGAGGGGTTTTTAAGGAATCCTATGAGGTCTATTCGCATCTGTTATTGTTTGGCGGAAAAGGTTCCAGTTGACTGGGCCTCTAATGAATGAGGGAGGAGATAATTTGGAGATAGGAGATGCGGAAAGGGTTAGGTTTAGCGGACTGTGGTCTGAGGAAAGGTCATCGAACCGTAAAACTGAATAATATAACGGCCCTAGGCCTTTGGGAAGGAAGAAGTCAAGGAGGTCAGGATTACAGTTAGGATCGGTTGGCCAGTATGGAGAAGTATCAGGGGAAAGAATGTTGCCATTGAGGGAATTAAATGCAGACACCAATGTTCGCCCGAGGGTGTTCGTGGTTCTGGCTCCCCATTGCTGATGTTTTGCATTAAGGTCTGCACCTATAAGGGAATTGTGTCCTAAGGAATTAAGAAAGGAAATGGAGTTAGGTTCGGCTATTGCTGTTTTAGGTGGAGAGCATGCTGCGACAACTGTGAAAGGAAAAAGTGTAGTTTGTGTTGGTATTGCTGAGGTTTGTAGGAAATTGTGTACTGGTAAAGGATAAAAGTGATGGGAGAGGGATTGCTGGATGATGGCAGCAGTAACTCCATGTGCTGTTCCATCAGGGTGGTCTGTTCGATAAATCTTGTAGCCAGAGGTATGTTGAACTGTCTTTTATTAGTTAGTCGAGTCTTAGTTATTAGGGCTATTTCAATGTTATTGTCCAGTAGAAAAAATGTTAGTTCGTTGATGTGGTTTCGAACAGCATTAGCATTCCAGAGGAGAATGAAAAGGGGTTTTATTGAGGGCACTTAAGGAATTCTTGGTGGTGGAATAAGGTTAGATATGACATTTGTAAGTACGGAGATAAGTGGTGTGATAAGAGATCTGAACTCGGAGAGGAATGATGAAAGGAGGCATGTAAAATCATTGGAATTGTTTGGGGGAGGGATGTACATTTGGTGGTGACTGGACTTTTCGGTGTTATCAAGTTGGGTGGCGTATCATGAGGTTGTGGTTGAATTTGTGGCAGGGCCTGAGGTTGATTGGGCTGTTCTATTTCTCCCAGTATTTGAGCATAGGAGACTTGATTGTTCGTAAATCTTGTCTGTTGCCTTGGTGGTCTGGAAGTCCTGGATGTCTCTTCCTGTCTACGAGCTGTTAGAAGTCTTGATTTTAATATTTTATAGGTCTGGCATCCTTTGGCTGGGTGGTATTTATAATGCGCACACCGCAGATCACGGTAATATTGCGAACTTTTGGTTCGATGTGATGTCTTGACATCGTTGAATAGAATACTACTGGATTGAAATTAGGAAAAGTAGAAAACAACTGTGGTTTTACGCAATAATTATTCTTCATGTTGACGATCCTTTGATGAACAATTTATTAAAAATAAAGAATACTTGTTAGATAATCTATTTCTTTATCAACGAAAATAAAAAAATCCCTAAACAAAAAAAAATAAGGTTATTTTAATTAAAACTAATCAAAGAAGAATCAAACAGAAATGTTTCTATTTATTTTTGAGAAGTTTATATTGAATTACTTTACATTCGGTTATGGAACGATAAAACCATAACAAAATCCTGATCATATCATATCATACCCATCAGGAAAGGGTCCGACTCGGAACTCCCTCTGCTGACTGTAAATAAGTATGAAATTGTTTATAATTTTTTTTCTATTTTTCTTCATTTCTATATTTTCTTATTTAATTTTGTCACATGTTTGATTTATTCTGTTATTCTAAGTTTTCTTTTATTTTATTTTGTTATAATTTTGTTTTTCTTTGATTGTATGTATCGTATGATTGTGTTTCATACATCCCAAATACTCAATGCCCTTAATTGAGGCAAAATCTATTTTTTTCTCAATAACAATTATTAAAAAACATTTAAACATTTAACCTAATAGATTTTTAGATCTTAATCTACTCTTTGTATGGTAGTCCTCTTGGAATAAGAGTCTAGGGAGAGGCTAATTGAATAATAAAATACATACCTTGTAATCGTATGTGACTATGACTCTTTTATCCTGAGAGACTATTAATTCTTCTATAATTCGAATAAAATACATACATGCAAGTAAACAAAACTTGTACCACGAAAACTAATGACATATATGTAAAATTTTAAATAAAATAAAAAAGAGAAGACAAATTAAAACAACTATTATTAATACAAAAATAAAAAGTCTTATTACGATGTTCCTTTCATTGTAAGATAAAATGGAATGTTGTGGATACAATGCAAATTAGGATATTTTTAAAAAATTGATGAATAAATTCAGATAAATTCCTCAAAAAAATTGGCATTAGCATTTAATAAAATACTTAATTCAAAATTGTTATCACACAACTTACATGCTTCAGCCTAAATACTGATAGTGGCTCAAGAGAAAAGTCTTTCGTCGGGAGGAAAGGAAGGTAAAGAAGTATGATATTCCAGGAATATCATTTTATTGAAAGGAAATATTCTATACTTCTTTAATTTGTTCGAAAGTTAATCTGCAAAAATATGTTCTTCTAAATCAGAATACCCCATAGCACTAGCGGATCCAGGATTTAATTTTGGGGGAGGCTTCAGCCCGAAAGCTTTTTTTTCATAAAAGTAACGATAATTACTTTGGAAAATACGAAAGAAACTAAGTACCTATACGAACTGGTGTTTAAGTGATTCCTAAAGCCCTTTTAAATGTAATTACACGAATAATTATACTTTAAGAGATAATTTTTTAGTATTTTTTCCGATAAAACATGGTTATATTTTACCATTTTGGAGGGGGCTTCAGCCCGAAAGCGCCCCCGTAGATCCGCCCGTGCCCCATAGACAAAACGGTTTCATCAGCGAGAGCTAAATATATCAGGTGGTATTGTGTTGATTCATTAAAAATTTTTATCTAACCATACTTATAACATTTAACAGGTAGGTATTAATTATCTCAATTGTTAAATCTAAAAAAGAAATTAAATAACTAAAACCACAGTTTTTATAAAATTAAAAACCTCCAAAGGAAAAATCTTTATCTGTTCTAATGACCGAATATAATTGCATATCTACTTGTACATGTTTGAGGGCTGTAGGAGAAAAGTATAATGCATTTTAGTTTATATTTTTTTTTCGGAAATTAATTGATAAATAACGACTATATGAATAATAAAAATACATTATTTTCCAATTATACGTTTTATGTCAGTTCTATCCATGTTAGATTTTTCGGTTAATTAAACTTTAGTCGTCATTTGTAAATTGGTTAATTTTCGCTCAACCCTAACTTTGATAGTCTAAGAAAAACTTCATTATCAATATGCAGGTTGATTTTTTTCTAGTTCCAATCGACCGATATGATCCATGATAATAATAGCAGAGATATATTCAATAATTTCTTAACCAATGCAGATCTCATGATATCAAATTTACGACCTAAATAGTTTGATTGTATATAGAATAGAATAGAAAAATAATTTTATTCTGGGACGAAGTCCCTTCATAATAACAAAAAAGTACAGAAATTAAAATTTTACATCTGGCCAGATAAAAACAAACATAACGAATTAAGATAAAGATAGGTTATTAAAAAAAAGAAAAGAAAAAAATATTGGTTATACATACTATATACAAAATAAAATTAAAAAATCTATATAAAAACTCTTGAAACCATACTAAGATACTTAAAACTATGTACAATGTTAAAATATAAATAAACCCTTTTAGAAAAAATAAAAAATACAGAAAAAATAAATGTATATTCTTCTTAACAGTAAAAAAAGAAAGTCGAATCTATAATAAGTATTTGGGTTATGAGCAGCTATATGTGAATATGGTCTTATAGATAATATGTAATTTTACATAAAAGGTTAGCTGGTGCCTGACTGTTTTTGGGACAGGAATTGGAATAGGAGGGTTTTGAATGTAGATAAGGATGAAGAATGTCGAATTTTGATAGGAAGGGAATTCCAGAAACTAACAGAACGTTCAATAAAGGAGTTTTAGAACGAGGCAGATCTGAGAGAAGGAATGTAAAGTATAATATAATATAATATAATATGTCAAATAAGTACAAGATTATAGAAATAGTATTATTTAATTTAATTTTATATTATTTACTATTTCTATAATTTAGGATTTATTTGACCGTACCCCCCCGATCAACTCCTTCTATATCACGGTCAATCATATCTGCTAATAGCTCTATTTGATTTTTAAATAAATATCAATAGATTATATGATAATATTGTTTCCATTAACCTTGTTTCTATTAACATAAAGAGTTACAGATACATTACATAATAAATACTTAGATATTTATATCTATTAAATTTTATAATCAAATATGCAGGTTACTGGTGCATCAAGGACACAAGACCCCATTACAAAGATGTCGAATTCCGGGTCATTACAGGCAAGCATGAACTATACATGAATAAGAAGGAAAAAGAAGATGGCCATCTAGATCATAATGTAGGTTCAGTAATATTGATCATTTCTTTTATCTAGATATCGTATTAATTAAATGAGTCGTATATTTCCAAAATGATTCCTAATCATCATTGGCATTGTTTTAAGAAAACGCGTAGAACTATATTTTCTGTTGTATTGTCTTTAATATTGTATTATTCTTATTGACGTAATATGAATAGGCTTAAGTGTCAAAATTTAGAATGGCTTCTTCTAAACACCGTTACTTAGGTTTATTTAAAATAATTCATATCTCTTATAGTTAGTAGAAATAAAAATGTATAAATGTAAAGTATGGAAAAATGTAATCACTATCTCAGGAAGAAATCTCGTGAATATTTCAATAAATATATATTCAAACCGAGCCAAGCCTTTACTCCCACTCGTGGAAGGAAAGGCAGGACCCTAGGAGATCCCAGCGCCTCTCACTCAGCCGCATCACTGGTATTAAGGACCATTCGAGGCTGAGCAGAGGCGCTATAACCAGACATACATGGTTTGAGTGGAGAATCATGGCCATTGCCAGAACTCCAATATATTCTTACAAGTTCTTGGGCCACTGCCGCTACAACCTTCATATTTTAAACCAAGGAGGAATGTAGGAATGGGTATAGCCAGATAGGGATTGTGCAAGTGGATTTAGATGATATGTATTGATGAAAGTTGGAAAAATTTTCAGGTATAAGGTCTAGGACAAATGGGATATTAAGATCATGGTGTAGGGTTTTGTTAGTTACATAGAACGGAGCATCAACTGAAAGCATTGAATACGTTAGATGTTAGAAACTTTTGCTGTTCCCCACAGTTCCAGTCCGTAAATCCAAATAAGTTTCAGTACTTGTAGATCAGTAATTTGTTTTCATTTGAAAGTTGAGATTTTCTGTTCAGTAGTCTATATAGTTAGCCGCATTGTCGGTTGAGTTCTTGTCTTTTGAGTATAGCATGTGGGTTTCATGTTAGTCTTCGGTCTAAGAGAAAGCCAAGGTATCGGACTGTGTCTGAATAAGGAAGCTGGATGGAATTAAAGTGTACTGGTGGACAAGAATTGCGTCGGAGAGCAATGGTAATATGTTTCCATTTTGATGTGGGAATATCAGGGATTTGATATTGGTTAGGTTGATGTGGGTTAGGTACATTAGGAGGGATATGGTATTGAGGTAGGGGTTGAGTTGATTGTTCCGGCAGGGCGTCACATTCATCAGTTGGATCCAGTATTGCCGTTTGTACGAGGATCCTCGTATTTGTACGAGGTTATGACGTAATGTACGAGGTACGAGGATAGACCAGCCTCGTACTTCGTACATAACTTTTGCTGACGTATGCAATGCAAGGTTATATTTTTATGAATGAAGTTTAGAATTATTTTTACCGTATTAATATTTATATTAATATGAAATACTAAATTTCTGTTGCTATCTAGAAAAATAAATTGGAATTATATCTTCTTTAATTAGAGTATGATTATTATTGCATTCATAAAACCATGACTGTAAATATGTTTTTGTTTTTTTTCTAGAAAATAAAATACAATTTTTTTTTAGATTTTATCCAGTATGAAATAAAATATAAGAAACTATATCCATTATTTCCTTCATAAAACTTTTTTTTTGTAAATATATATTTTTAAAATGTGTTGCAAAGGAAAATTAAAAAGAAATTTTTACCGTCATTTTTATCGTGCATAAAATAAAACGCGAGAAAGTATAACCATTATTTCCTTCTTAATTATTATTTCCTTCATAAAACTGCAATTGTAAATATATTCTAGATAAATTAAATTAAAAAAAAAAATTATTACTGTAATTTTAAAAAAAAATTTTCTATTTTTAATCGAGTAAAGTAATTAATTGAAAAATGAACTAGTATTCATAATGAAACCATCTTAAATAATGGGAAAAAAAGTATTCTTTTAGTGATCCACATTTGTTTTGTCCGAGATCTAATTGTAAGCTAAATACTGAAACAATCACAATCTATTCATTTTTTATATCATAATGGATATCTCTAAAAGCATCAATGCCCCAAAATTAATTTTTATTGGCCTTCCAGAACCACTAACGTCCTTTCATAAAAGTAGTTGTTTTGTTTTTACTACATTCAAATTAGTTAGAATTTTACTTCTTGACCCATTAACTTAAAAAAAAGGTAATGTAAAAAGGCTTTAAAATATATGAATGAAGGTAAAAATAAAAAGCTCTGATCTAATTTTACTATATAAAAAAACAATAACACTGGGCTTGCAATAGTACAAGTTATGAATGAGCAAGCGTACGAGGATGTACGAGGCTTCAGTACGAGGTTTTGTCACAGAGCGCGCGGCAAAACTGGTTGGATCTCTACCTCCGAGTAACTCAAAAAGTTAAATGAATAATTTAATAAAGTGATTATTTTTCTCTGTTAAATTCCAACATAATCAATTTCAATTACTGACTTTTGGCCCATCGATGCTGTATTTAAAACCTCGTAACTACATTTTGGTAAAAAATAAGAATTTAAACACATATAAAAAGACGCTGAAAATCATTTCATTTTTTATTTTCAAACAGTTATACATCTAAAGTAACATTATCTCCCTAGTGCAAAAGAAAAACAAATAATAGGTTATTCCAAACATCTAGATACCATACCTTTGCACCAAATTGCCCGATTTTAACGATTTTTTTTAGGAAATTCCGTAAACTTTAAAATAACTATATTTTAATTTTACCATCCCTCGTAACTATTTTCCAGCTTCTTTTCGTTGAAGTATGTTATATAAATAAATTTAAAGGGCATTGAGAAGAAGATTTCAGCGAAGTTTCATTGAAATCGGTACATTCGTTTAGGCGCTACAGTATATGGCAACGCAGGTGGCAACGTATCGTGAAACGTAAAACCTCAAATTTTGAGAGAAAATTAAGTTTTTGAATTTTTTGTTCAATCACTGATGGTCAATCAATAATGGTTCATTATTGAAAAAAAAATAAACCAAAAATTGATAGCGATGTAATACTTAAAATGGTTACTATGTAGTATGATCCTTATTTATTCATAATTTAATACACGTAATTCCAAATCTCTCTTTGTATATAGAGCTCAGAGACTGGAGTTATGTGATTCAAATAGATTGATGAGGTTATGATGTTATTATTGTCTACAATAGATATAAGAGATAGTGTTTGTGTTATTTGGATTGTCTTATTGAGTTTTTGCATTGGTATAGATGATCTTAATACACAAATATATTCTTTAAGATTAAGCTGCATTAAAGAGGTACTTCAAAAACATTTTGTAATAATCCGATTTTGCTTGACAATAACTTCTGTTCAAAGTAGAGCAGTAAGTAAAAGTTGTGGGATGCGCGCACCATATTTTTATTATTTATTTGAAACTTTTGAAGTTTAATAACAGCTTGATAAACAAAAAAATATTTTCATAATTAATTTTACTTTTATACTTTTATATTTAAATCTGTTCTGATATTAATGATGTTTATTAATATATTTTAAATTTATTTCTATTAGATTTAGGGTAGTAAGTTAAAGTTGTGTGAAGCGCACACTACATCAGTTTTTTTTTTTAATATTATGTTTTATATTGTATACAGCTATATTTAAAAAATATTTAAGTCCAAATAATATATATAATGTCTTTAATAATTTGGAAAAGTAAAATAATTTTGCAGATAACCAAACATCATAAGCATCAAAACTATGTCGATTGGAACTCCCGGACTGAAAATGACATGGTAATCCTCATCATTGAACCCGGAATCAATTTTACAAAAGCAGTGGTTCCTATTTGTATGGATTGGGATCGAAGTTATCAAATTGAAGAAAAAGTAGGAATGGTAAGGTGCACATACTATCATATTGTTTTTCGTATGAGTTTCAATATATTTTAGGAATATGGTAAATGCAAAACTGGAATTTACGACCAGACAATACACGTTTATAGCATTAAGGTGTTATGAAATATTTTATTCGAAATATTGTTCCTCGCTATACTATTCATTTTCCTAACTGTCTGGCAATTTAAGAAAATCTGTTCCTCTTTTGTGGCAAATCATCAAACCGTAAGAAGTGAAGCACTGAGAAAGTGCATGCCTCATCTATGCATTATTCGGACGGAGGCAAGTCTGGAGAATAAGCCTTATGCACAAATATTTCCCAACCAAACGGCTTCTATCGTTTCCTCCACTGGGTTCGCTGTATGTCCCACTTATTAGTTTCCCTTATGACGTTGCGATAATTTTATCAATACAATTATTTTTTTTATTTTATTTTAATTTTAATAACGGTAGTTACTTGGGGGGAGGAGAGAAAAGAAAGAGAGAAACTATAACAAGAGGCCCGGGGAAAAACGTATCCCCATAAGAAGTTATAACTCCATTTTTCAGTAAAGCAAAAAAACAGTTTTTATTTATTTTTCAACCACTTGTCAAAGTGATTTTTTTTTTATTGAATAATAATACGTCCGACCTGATTGAAGGGTATTACTATTAAGGCTACATTAATCATCCACACAATATATACATACAAATAATAACTAAAATAGAGATAATATAGAAAAGGAAATATAGAAAAATAAAATAAGTAACTTAATATTGTTTTGTTCCCCCAGTGAATCGACTGACTCCGATCCCCAATGAATCAACCGTTTTCGGGTAAACCTACAGTTTTTGAGTGAATCATGATTTTTTTTGAGTCACTTGAGAGTACAATTCTTTTAGGGGAATCGACTCTTTGTTTATGTGGTCCTTTAAGAATAGTTAAATTTATTAATAATAATAAATAAAAAAGGTTCCTATAGGAACAATAATGTTTTTGGGCATACATTTTTTTATTGACACGTTTTTTTATTGACACGGGGTAGCTGAGTCGGGGAGCACTAGGTTCCAGGTTTGAATCCGGCTGATGACTAGTAATTTTTCATTAAACTTTCGTCGACCCTAGGGCTTGGAGAACCTCCTGTGGCAAACCCATGCTCTATAAAGTGGGTACTCTTAATTAAATAATTAATTATGAGTAAAAACCTAGTGGTTGAGCGTGATATTGACCCAGACCGTTGGCCTTGTAGCAGTACTTCTACACATTATACTGAACCCAAGAACCTTCGTGGGTTGGTAGTGGTACAATTTTTTTTAATTTAGTACCTAGTATATGAGTAGCAATTAGAAATGAGAACATATTGTTATTCTTTAAGCATTTAGAAAACGCTGCAAATTATTCCACAATGGTTTATTATTTCCAGACAATAATACATCTAAAGTAACATTACCTACATAACTATGCAATAAAAAAATAAATAAATAAATAAAAAGTGATTCCAATTATTGGACTAAACTTTTTTTTTTAATCATTGGTAATGTGCTAAAAAAATAACATTACATCAATAACACATTCAAAATTTAAAAATCAAACAAAGGATATAACATTTGAAGTAGAACATATTTTAAAAAACCCGAAACCATATCTTTGCTCCTAACGATTTTTTTTTTTGGTTTTTAGGAAAGTTCGTAAACTTTTAAAAAACCATAGCAACAAAAAGTATACTTTTTGAGTTATTCGGAATTAAATTTTACCATTTCTCGTAATTTTTTTTCCAGCTTCTTTTCGTTGAAGTATGTTATATAGATAAATTTAAAGGGTGTCAAGAAAATGACTTTAGCGAAGTTTCATTGAAGTAGGTACATTTGTTTAGGAGCTATAGTCTATAGCGACGCAGGTTTTTTGGCTGCCATTTTGAAAGTAAAAGGCGGATGGTAATGTCGATGAAGGAGGATCATCCTCGGGTGACCTCTGATTTTATATCCAAATTTGAAAATAAATCGGTCCAGTAGTTTCGGAGAAAATGCGCGGACGGCGGACGGACAAAAAAATTTTTAATCGTTTTTCGAATTCTACGCATCCTGAAACGTGAAACCTCAAATTTTGAGATGGGGTTAAGTTTTTGAATTTTTTGGTCGATCACAATGGTTGATTATTGAAAATAATAAACCAAAAAAACAAACAAATATATATTAATGCAAGTTATGAGTATTTTTATATTTGGGATTCCATTTATTTCGACTTGACAGCACCCCCGAACTTCTCCGTGAATCGTATCTAGTACGGCCAACAATACACACACTATTATAATTTAGGATTAAATATAATTTTTCTGTGATAAAACAGTTTTACTTAAATATTAATATCTTTTGCAGATAGCTTCTTGGGACATTGATGAATGCCATTGTCAAGATTTGGCCAAGTACCGATATCTTAATATCACAGATTGCGCTGAGGCATTTCTAAACAAAGAAGAGTACCAAACCTACGTCACGTCGGAAAAAGTCTGCGGCAGATATCACAATGGTAATTTAATTAGAAAATAAATATATGATTAAATATTATTTCTCGTAATGATTAAGGTTTTAAAATAATAATAATACTCCACCAGACCAGCGTTTCCATCAGATTTTTTTTTTACTTTCCCTTCGGTCAGTCAGATTTTTCCTTTTTCTCTCAGAAAAAACTTGAAAATCTCTTCTCCCCAAATATATACAAAATAATACGTAATGTTATAGGTAACTACTCGTTTTATGTCCGTTCTATTTTTTCTATTAAAGAAATAGATTAAATTGTGCTCTGATTCGGGTTTGATTGATAAAAATGGTTTTCTTTTTTGCCCTCCGCGCTATTGGATTTTTCCTAGAAAGGGAATTTCTTTACCAAAATGGAAACTCTGTACTCGAAATATGTATATTATATTATATATCGACAGCCACACTGCAAAAGTCTGTAAGAACAAAAACGAAATATTCACGAGACGAAAAAAAGCTGCGTAACTTTTGCTCTATGATCATTATATTTTCGGTTCAATTTTGTGTGCAGGCCTAGGACAAAGAGGTAACACTCAATGTATCGTATTTCTACCAAATAATCTTTTAGAATCGTTACTTCTACGCTATAGATTTTTAGTTATTTTGAAAAACAAATATTAATAATAATAATGCTTTATTTATTCTGGGACGAGTCCCTTAAGAATAATACAGAAAGACAAAAATGAGGGCTAGAGAGAGAGAGATACATACACAAAAATATAGTGTAAGTGAATATACAGAGTAAGTGAATAGTCAAATTTAAAAAAAATAATAAAAGAAATTATAAGTTACTTTCAAATTTAAATAAGTTAATAATAAAAAAAAAAATGAAAAATTTAAAATAAACATAAAGTAAGAATGATGAGGAACGATCTGATAATTTATATACATATTTACAGTACTGTTCACCATTTCATGGGGATTGGATGGATAAGAAATGATTGAACAGGCGGGCTTTAAAAGTAGGAAGAGTTTTGGATTGACGGATGTCGGGAGGAATGGAGTTCCATAGGGATGAGGATCGGATAATGAAAGATCTGTCGAAAGCTTATGTAGAAATCAGAAGACCTGGAACGAGTATTGCGGGAACGAACAGAAGATTTGAATTGAAGGAGTTTAGAGATGTATGAAGGACGGTGAGTTTGGATGACTTGTAAGAGGAAGGATGCCAGGAAATACTTACGACGGTAGGAAGGATAAAGCCACTTCAACTCAAAAAACGGGAAACAGAGGCGTCCCTTGGGATCCCGAAGATGAATCGTACAAAGCAATTTATCAAACGTTTTAATTTTGCCTCGAGATCCCCAAAGACGCCCCCATATACCATACAGCAATAATCAAAGTGGGGGAAAATTAAGGAAGTTACTAAGAGCCACTAGCGGATCCAGGATTTAATTTTGGGAGGGCTTCAGCCCGAAACCTTTTTTTTTTTTCATAAAAATAACGATAATTACTTTGGAAAAACAGAAAGAAACTAACTACCTATATGAAATGGTGTTTAAGTTATTCCTTAAGTACTTTTAAATGTAATTACACGAACAATAATACTTTAAGAGGTATTTTTTAAACATTTTTTTCCCATAAAACATGGTTATATTTTTCCATTTTGGGGGGGACTTCAGCCCGAAAGCCCCCTCCCCTCCGGTTAGATCCGCCCGTGCTAAGAGCCTACGGGTTTCAAGGGGAAGTAGGTGACGGGAGTAATTTAGATGTTTTAAGGTGGAAATGGTACGGCAGAGATGCTGGATAAATGATTTTTCCAGGAAAGCGTTTGGTCAAAGGTATTAGGTATTAGGTAAAAGCAATCAAATTTACTGTAGTAACAACCATACAAATTTTAATAATGATCAAAACATGACAGGGACAAGCAAGACAAGTCAGTTTCTAAAATATAGATAAATGATCCTTCAAACGAGTATTGGATCACACGGGTCATTTGGTTTTTGTCTCCCACTGTAGGGGCTGTTCGAACGGAGCGCATGCGCCCCATTTTGGAGTAGTCTATGAAAGATTCGTGTTTGACTTACTCAACTTCACATGAACATGGTTTGATCCACGAATACTTGCTAAGTTCTAGGTAACCTGCTGATGTGTGGATCACTTCTTTTCTGAGCTTCTTGCTATTTCGAAGATTCATTAGTTTGAAGTAGAACTTGTAGGAGATATCCCCCGGTATTTACTCCTTTATGTTACATTGGGTGAGAGAATGAGAAGGAATATATAACATATAGGAATGTGAGGTTGCACTGTGAATTGTACTCAATTGTGCAGTGGACAAACTATTCATTGAAAAATCTGATATCGATAAACAATCGACGAAGAAGGATATAAGATAAGACTTTAATGAGTTATATAATTTAATAAGTTAACTTTAATAAGTTATAAGACTTTTAATATATTCATTTATTATCAGTTGTTAAAATAAATTGTTTTGTTAGGAGTGAATAGCCCTTTTATTTAGTTGTCCTATAGGCCTCACAATTGAAGAATAATAAACAAGGTGAGTCAATTCATTCAAAGTGTATTTACTCAGTCCCACATTTATATATATATATATATATATATATATATATATATATATATGTTCTTATTGTTTCTTGTCAAGCAGTGTCACAAAAGGTATTAGATTCCCGAATTTCCCAACAACAGTTAAACACCCTCAAAAAAGTCTATATCCAGTGCCGGGGTTTTGTTTTAGTATTCACAAGTGTAAATAGCCTAGTTCCCCGAAATATAAACGGAAGGCTATTCGCCTATTCCCGCCAAAAACATTATTTAAAATTAGCCTTTAAACGTAGTTATTTTCAAACTAGATCTTTTTTCGTCTCGTATTAAATTTTCCAATCCATTCTGTCTTACATTACTGGAATTCGGAGGCATTGTAGCTATTTTTCAGCCTAGATCATTTTGCAATGTTCAGGATATTTCGATTGTTTTGAAGGCATTTTAATATAATATTTCCATTTGCCACTCTCTTCTTTGCTTCGTCTAGTTCCATGGTGAGCAGTGTCGGCCTCACAGTAGGAAAACCCAGGCATTTGCCAAGAGGAGACGAGCTGAAAGTGAACGTCAGTTATTATAAATTAAAAAGAATACAAAGCGTAGAAGAAAAGTTTATTTCATTTTATTAATAAAACTCACCCGGGACTGCTGTACAAACTCCGAAAATCCCTACCATCTACCTACTTCCTCATTATCCGTTCCTACCTTACTGATAGATACTTTAAAGTAAATCACAACAATGTATATACATCCCGTTTTTCCCAGTCTGCAGGTGTTCCTCAAGGTAGTATCCTAGGTCCTATCCTTTACACAGTTTATACAGCTGACATCCCAATCCATCCCAACACTGTCATCACCACATATGCTGATGACACATGTATCCAATCAGTCAATAACGACCCATCTATTGCATCCCAAACCCTTCAATCCCACATCACAAACCTTGAAGAATGGTGTCAGAACTGGAGAATTAAAATAAATTCCAATAAATCCCATCAAATTACCTTCACCCTTCGTCGTAAACCAATGACTTCCTGTCCTTCAGTATCCTTTGACAACACCTCACTTATTCCTGTTGAACAAATCCGTTACCTAGGACTCCATCTGGACAAACGTCTAACTTGGAATCCTCATACCAGACTGAAACGACAAGAAACCGCTCGACGTTTCCGACTACTTCAACACTTACTAGACAAACGCTCTAGCCTTCCAATCAATTATAAAAGACTGATTTACATGACTATAATAAGGCCTATTTGGACTTACGGGGTTGAGCTATGGGGCTCCACCAAGCCTTCAAATTCCTCTCGCATACAGTCCTTGCAATCCAAAATCCTTCGTAAAATCCTCAATGCTCCTTACTTTGTTACAAATAAAATTATCCATAATGACCTTAATGTTCCTTATGTGTCAGATTTGGCCCAATCCAGATATCTGTCCTTCCATAATAAACTTCATAACCATCCCAACCCTCTTGTCTCTAACCTTGCTTCCTATTCGATTCCTGATAACCCTCCGAGGCGTCTGAAACGATGGCCACGTGATCTTCTAATATAGACATATTATTAGAGTGCTACCAATGGGTAGTTTCTCAACATGTGTTCCATGCCTTTATACCAATGTGCAAATTTACTAGATGTATTTTTTGTATACAGTTGTAAATATCATTTAAAATAAATATAAAAAAAATTAATAAAACTAATCGATGCTGTAGTCTATGCACAAAACTCTTTAAACAATCTGTATTTACATGACCACTTTACATTGAGCATTTCAATACGTTTTCTCGGTAAAGACACAATCTCAATAACCTTCACTGTAACTTAGAGTTTTTTTTTTCACGATTTGATGGTTTTTAAATTACAGGTTTATACAAAAGGCTATAGAGAAGAAATGAAACAGAATATGCACCAGAAAAACACAAAACGTCATTTTCCATAGAAACTGTCCTTACAGGCTTTTGCAGTGTGGCTTTCGATATACCTAGTTTTGCAACAAATACTGTTACAAAAGTTGAACTTTGTTTACATCCTTGGGTATTACTTAAATAATCCTTACCTCTATCGGGTTATTTTCTTTACATATTAGAATAATAACCCCAATTACTCTGTATTTTTCTTTCGCTCATTTAACATGGAGTGGAGTGATGAAGAAAACCAAATAGCTGTGATCGCATTACACAAAGTTGGAAAATGTAGGTCAGAGATTTTCAACACTTAGAATCTTTGGGTATCAGGCGTATGTTCGTGTACCGCACTGTAAATAGATATAATGAGACCCTGTATGTGACAGACCTGTGACCGCCCAGTGAGAATGGCAAATGCAGTGAGTAGTGGCTGCTCGAATCAGAAGAAATCACATTCGAAAACAAAAAAATCATGTCTCGAGAAATGGGAATCTCTGTCAGATCAATGTCTCGCATAGTAAAAAGTAACCTTATGATGGGTGCATTTGAAGAGTGACAGGACAAAGGCTTACCACTGCCCTAAAAAAAAAAATACAGAGGATACATGCAAAGTGATCCTTGGCCGTTACACCAATGGTCTTCATCGAAAGATTTTGTTTAGCGATGAGAAAATTTTTACAATTGAAGAAAAATTTAAACGACAAAGTGATCATGTTTACGCATACAGCTCTAAAGAAACCCAGGAAGTCATTGGAAGAGTGAAAAGACCTTTCCTTAGTGATGGTTTGGTGTGGAGTTTGCTTTGATGGCACCACAAAGCTCTATTTTTGTGAAAAAAGGGTTAAAACAACCACTAAAAACTATCAGGACAATATTTTGGAACCTGTTGTCAAGCCTCTAAATAATACTCTGTTTGCTGGAAGTCATTGGGCTTTCCAACAGGATTCCGCTCTAGCTCACAAGGCCAGGTCAACTCAGCAGTGGCTGCAAAAGAGCATTCCAGAGTTCATCTCTGCCTCGAATTGACCCTCAGGAAGTCCTGATCTCAACCCACTACATTATCGGCTTTGATTCAAACTGGAGAGGATGGCATGTCACAAACCACACCTTAACTTGGAAAACCTGAAACAATCTCTAGTCCCAGCAGTTGAGCGCTTTCCTCAAGAAGTGCTGCGTGCTGCTATTGAAGACTGGCCACGGAGATTAAATGCCTCTATCAAGGCAAAAGAAGAACAATTTGAGTAATTTCTTTTTGGTTTTACTTTCTATAGATGCATATTTTATTTTCTAATAAAGATTTTGAAAAAAATCAATTTTTCTGATGAAATCATCATATATTTCCTTTTAACAATATTTATAACAGGACTAGGTATTATTCAATTATATTATATTCAAACAATAAAAATTGAACAAAGTTGTTCTGTTTTGTTGACTTTTTCAAATAAAGTCATGAAATGCGCAGGATATTAACAAAGTTACCGTCTGTTACTCATTTAACGAGTTGTGAATTTCTTAAAAATTACGATCCCTACACCATTAGTGTAAATTTTCCGAGCTGGAAGGCCCTTTCTCGGCAACCATGATAAATTGAAGTTTAAGAGATCGGGATATGATGGCGGTGCCGACGGGACTTAACTTTGACAATAATCCCCGGACCTCTTTCTCCTCCCTCTCCTCCTCCCGGCTTCTTTGATGTAAAGCTACTTAATTGTATTAATTGCTTAACATCAATACAACACAATGATATTAATCGTTTGAAATCAATACAATACAATCATATCCATTGTTTTTTTTGTTTTTTTGTCTATAAAATATGTATTTGCGCCTGTCAACAATAAGTTGACAATCAGCAAATGTGATGGCGATAATGATATATGACATGACAGGCATGGGGAAGGAAAGTACTCAGCAGTACCTCTTCCCTAACTTGTTCCAATTACTTAGGTTGTCTAAGGAAGGAGATCCCTCATCCAACGCCTTTTTAGTCTCCTGCTCATGTTCTGAGGTATGTCAGCTGTGGCCATGTCTCTTATAAGTCTGTTATTATGTCCATTTAAATTTGTGTAAAATCGTTGATATAGGATCGTTATATGTTGGTCAACTGTTGGAAAGTGGAGGTCAGTATGTAGAGTTTTGTTAGTCACGTACCAAGGTGCTTTTGTTATGAGTCGCAATAATTTTGATTGGAACGTTTGAAGTTTTTGTAGGTGGGTCTTTTTAGCGATGCCGTATATTTGTGATGAGTATGTCCATATGGGCTTAAGTAAGTATGTATATGTATTCAGTTTCTGTTTTAGTTTAGTTTTGAAGATTTGGCAAAAAGAGAGTAAAGTAGTTTGAGTCGTTTGTTAAGTGTCATGCGTTTCATTTTAACATGTGGGCCCCATGTCATCCTTCTGTCGAAGGTGAGTCCAAGGTAAAGTACCGTGTCCGTTTGAGGAATTTGATTGTTGTCAATATAAACTGGAGGACAGGTGTTTTTTCGAAGAGTAAATGTTATATGTTTGGATTTGTCATGATTAAGTCGAATTTTCCATAGTGTGAACCAATCTTGTAGTTTAAGCAAATGATGTTGTAGAGTTAGTGAGGCCTGTGTAGGGTCTTGATGTTTAGTGAGGATTGTTGTATCGTCTGCATATGTAGCTGTCAAGATCTCATCGTCAATAGGTATATCGTAAGTGTATATAACGTAAAGTAGAGGGGCTAGTATTGAACCTTGGGGAACTCCGGCCAAGATTGGACGGACTGAAGACACTTCCGAGCCCTGCCGAACTGAAAAAAATCTGTTGAAGAGGAAAGATTGAAGGATAAGATAGTAGGTGTATGGAAGTATAGTCTTAAGTTTAAAGAGAAGACCCTGGTGCCAGACTCTATCAAACGCCTGAGCAACATCCAAAAATATTCCAGTTGCATATAGTTTTTGTTCTAAAGCTCCAGCAATGTAGTCTGTAACTCTGTGCAATTGATGTGTCGTCGAATGGAATGTGCGAAAGCCGAATTGGTGGTCAGGTATTACCTGTTGGTCAGTCAATATGTCAACAAGTCTTTTGTATATTAATTTTTCAAAAACTTTAGAGCATTGTTTGACTTCAATAACATAAAGATACATTAATTGTTTAGCATCAATACAATTCAATTATATCATTGTTTAAAATCAATACAATACAATTATAAATATTAATTTTCAGGAACTCGTTTCTTATACGGAAGCGATATAGGTGCAGGTTACTTCTTCTTTAAGAACGGATCAATACAACACTATCTCCAAGGCATTGTCAGCAGAGGGCGACCGACTGACCAAGACTTCCTCATCTTCACGAATGTGGAATTGAATCTCCGTTGGATCAGCGACATCGTGTTGAGTATTTACAATACTGGTTCCTGGTACTGAATTCCTGATTGTTGGAAGCTAATTTTGTAATTCACTTTTTAAATCATATCGAGTGTTAATTACAAAAAGGCGTTAAGGTAAATTTTACAAAATTAAACAACTGTGGATTATGATGAATTTATTCTCCGTTAAACATGGTGTCTTAATGTGACTACTTTCGATATAAATGGGTCATTTCAAAATTTCTTCTGCATCTTCTTCTTTTGCCACTTCCTTAGTGCCATCAGAGTGGAGGAACAGACTCGGCCAATCTCTTCCACTGATCCTTGTCACTGGTGCTCCTTCTCTTATCATGGCGCTACCTCTGGCTAGCCCGTGTCCGTCAGACATTCCATGAAGTCACAACAACCTGGGCCTCCTGCTTTGATTGATAGCTAATCTTGATATTCACATTTAAAAAAAATGGTAATGCACCAATCCATTTAAAGAGTTTCACTGCAATTGATGCTCACTTTCTGGACATTAAAATTTAAGCGAAATGAAGTGAAAAGGGAAATTCCTGTCTGCTTTAAACCCAGGAACAACATCGCTCCAAGATCGTCTTTCCTTTCTCTATTTTTTTATTTATTTTATTTTTTTCTATAGACCAACTGTTGGAAAGCTAAGTTTTTACTCTTCAAAACTATATCGATAATTTTAATATTTCAGGCTTCTCTAAGGAATAAATTAATAAAAATTTCCCAAAAGTTTATATTTTTTATTTCCAAGCCTAATTTATAAGCGATATTTTGGTTTGGGCCATTTTTTGAATAATATAGACTCCCAAATTCATGCTAATTTTGATGTGGTTAAGTGTGCCATGTCGAAGTTATCACAACTTAAGGTAGTATATTTTATATATATATAATTCATTCATTATTGGCACAACAGACGCATGTAGCGGTCCTTGGCCTGCTCAATCTCTTTGCCCAGTGATCCCTGTTGGCTGCGCACCTGATGGATATCCCGTTTTTTCTCAAGTCTTCTTTCACGTTGTCTATCCATCTTGCCTTCGGTCTTCCTCTAGACCTAACTCCCTCTGGCTTCCCATGATAAAGCCTTCTCGCTGTCATTCATTCTTCATTCATTCATTCTCAGGACATGTCCTAACCATTTCATTCGTTGCACTCGAGCGAATTGGGAGATAGACAGATCACCGTACATTGAGTATACCTCCTTGTTTGTTCTCAAGCCAGGAACTCCTTCCTCCAGTTTAGGTCCTATTATCCGCCTTAGTATTTTCCTTTCAAACCGATCTAATCGTTCAGCAGAAGCCTTTGTTTCACACGCATATGTTGCAACTGGCCGAATAATCATTTTGTATATGCTAAACTTCGTTGTACGATCTAACAATCTACTTTTCAGAAGGCTCGCTAGAGAAAAGTACGCTCTGTTGGCAGCCATTATTGTAGCTCCTATCTCCTCCTCTTCGTTATTGCTATTGTTAATTATGGACCCGAGGTAGGTGAAGCTTGATACAGCTTGAAAAGTGTGGTTTCCTAAGACATAGTGCTGTGGTGGATGGACAAACTTTTTCTTCCTTAAAACAAGGACCTTGGTTTTACTTTCGTTGATGCATATCCCCATTTCCCCTGCCTCATTCTCCAACCTACTGAATTCACTCTTCACTGTTTGAAGTGATCGCCCTGCAATGACCACATTGTCAGCATACGCGAGCAGTTGGGTCATTCTGTGGAATATTGATCCTTCGTTATTTAATTTTGTACTTCTCAGGATGGTCTCTAGGGCAATATTTAAGAGGAGTGGGGGAATATATAGAATATTGAGTCAAAAGTTTACATTTGTCGATTGTGACAAAATGCTAATTTAAGGGCATTAAATAAATATTCCTGCTTTAAACCAAGGAACAATATCGCTCCAAGATCTTCTTTACTTTTTTTTTTTTATAGACCTAGATCTCCCTATCTGCTTTAGTTTAGATGGTTATTTTTATTAAATTAATTATAATTAAATAAAATTTATGTATTTATTTTTTTGTTAACCTATCTTACTTTATATATATGTTAGTCAAGTTATCAATTTTTTTTACAATGAGCGAAGGTTGATAATACTTTGCTTCAGAATATTTTGAATTAACTCTGTTTCAAAAGCTGAGTAGACGATTGTGCTCATGAAAGGCTAAATCTTCACTTCTAGGGAGTAAGTTTAGTATCAGCGGTCCGTTGCTACGTAACGTCTTCTAAACGATTTGTTCTTTGGCAACGAAAGTATGCATACCAAAGTATACATACATTTAATGAAATAATTTATTTCTATAATAAAGCCTAGAGAGACCTAGATCTATAAAAAAAACAGAAAAGAAGAAGCGGTGTTGTTCCTGGGCTCAAAGCAGACCAGAATTTCTCTTTCGTTTAGGGATGGGATAGCGAAAGCCCAACATCGATATTGCAATCGATTGAAATATTGTCCTGTAACTATCGGTGTAACATTAAAATATCGGGCTTGATATATCGATAAAATCGAAAATAGATATTATAAACATTTAAAAAAAACAGTAATTTCAGGTTTGTCTAAAAATATGTTATTTTCTTCGTTTAATTAATTAATGGAAATATGAATGCTCCTGCCCTCCTTAATAAAATTAATTTCCGGGTAGTTGCCCAACTTTTTTCCAATTTATTTGCATCCCATCCCCACATATATTATTACAGTAAGTCTCGAAATCGGTTTAGTACCAAATATAAGCTCCTGTCATGCTCAAATGCCATGAATGGGGTACCGTTGGATTCATAATTTCACGGGAAGTTAGCGAATCTTATTCTCCACTTTTGTTTTTCTTTCTAAAATAAATAAAGTCGATACAAACATTTTACTAGGCTTCAATACTGGAACGGTGGTAGGTCTGTAAATCGATAAGGGACAAATTGGGCTTCGAAGATTTTGATGCGTAGATGCCCTGCGTTTTTAAACCTAAAACATATTATTTTCAAGATAACGCATAGGATTCCCATCCATACAACCTTACGTTAATTGTAGTACTGTCATTGAATACATGTCTCATTTCGTCTACTTGAGGTCTACTTATTTATCGATGGTGTTTTTGATCGGCAAGCCATATCATCGTTAATTCTTCACCAAATCTCAAGATTGAGCCACCAATTTCGAAGGCTTCCTTCTCCTTCAGGCGGGTAAAATAGTCCAATCACCCCTAAAATTCAGGCAAACAAGTTATGAAAAAAAAAATTTTATTTGCGAATAACTAAAAGACTACACACTTTTCCTTTATGCCCATGATTATATAAAAGATTACTAAATTCTCTGCAAAAGGAAAAAAAAAATCATCGAAATCGAACAATTTTTCTATACGGGCCAACTAGTATAGATTTATTTGACAATTTGTGGGCTTGGTTTTAAGTAACAAATTTGGACAAATTGTGTTTACATCACCCACAACAAAGTTATGTGTATTCAGAACGAATGAATTTTAGTACACATCATATGGTTATAAGTTTATAATCTACGAGGGCTATTCATTCTACTACGCATTACACTCTAAGCAAGAACAAACAAGATGAGAATAATTTTTTATCTAACGATCAGATTCAAATACAATCTCTAGAGCTTTTCAAAAACAATTATATCGAATATCGGAAGAAAAATATATTTTTCGTTATTATCGACTTTAACTTTTAAAAAGAGTCCAAGAAGCAAGAATCGATACCAGTGACACCCTTAGAATGGGTCGGACAGGTGACATGCATTAACCAATATTTTTTAAAATGTGAATATCGATTTAGACCTTTCGTCGTAATAATGCTCAAAATGGACAGCTTAATATGTCAGTACCTCTGGGTTGCGGCAACGCATATTTTTTACCAACTCATATAACTACAAATTTTACCAAACGATGAATTGAATATGTGCTTCTAAAAGGATGCAGTCCATGAGATTAATTATTTAACTTCTTTCAGTTATGATTTGGCCCTTATATTGCCAATTGAAATAAATATGATCGAGTTGACCATATATATAAAAAAATTAAATTAAGACACCAACCATGTTCTGCTTTAATGGAAAGAAAATTCATCAAAGTAAGTAGTTGTTTAATTATGTTATTTAATGACTGTTACTTGATGACTTATTTCAATAGATCCACTACGTTTTGTATATAATTAACGACTTGTTTATATTGTTCATGTGTTTCTTCTTTAATTTTATAGTATATTCAACTATAAATTGTGTCACAAAAATGCTTTAAATCAACCCCCTCCTGGAGTCACATATTTCTCACATCTCCCGACGACAGTTTTTCTACACCTCAAACTATTCCATTGCTTCCACCATCTCCTACCTCAACAATACCGTAAGAACTCCTCGATTCCTTCTCATCTCCCCTACTTTGACTCTGCTGTGTGGTGTATATGGACCTCATCGTGGAGCTTCGCACAAACTGAAAAGAATAATGAACAATTGCGTGAGATTTGAAATTGGTGCCCCGAGATACTACCATGACTCTCACCATTACACTGAGTTAGAGATGGCTCTTCCCCTCCATTCGAAGACAAAATTTCCTAGGTACATCCTCTAGTCATATCATCAACAATCCATCGTCACTTCGCTACAACCTACAACCTTCTCCAATCAAGTCCTCAGTCCACTCCCTCTCCACAAGATCTCGACCTTCCAAACTTTACATTCCTTTTCACAGATCTGCCTCTTCCAAAACTCCTTTATTGCACGTTCCTGTTAGTTTTCCTGAAATTCTTCCTATCATAATTCGGACATTCTTCATCCTTATCTACATATCAAAACCCTCCTATTCCAATTCTGACCCAAAAACAGTCAGGCACCAGCTAACCTTTTATGTAAAATTACATATTATCCTAATATGACCATATTCACGATAAGCTCATACCTAAATACTTATTATAGGATCGACTTCTTTCTCTCTTTTTGTTTCACAGAAACAGATCTTTACTGTTAAGAAGAATATACATTTATTTTTTACTGTATTTTTTATTCTTTCTAAAAGGGTTTATTTCTATATTAACATTGTACATAGTTTTAAGTATCTTAGGAATGGTTTCAAGAGTTTATTTATATAGATTTTTTTTTTATTTTATTTGTATATAGTATGTATAGACCAATATTTTTTTCTTTTTCTTTTTTTAATGTACCTATCTTTATCTTAATTTGTTATGTTTGTTTTTATCTGGCAGATGTAAAATTTTAATTTCTGTACTTTTTTGTTATTCTGAAGGACTTCGTCCCAGAATAAATTATTTTCTATTACGATTCTATTCTATAAATTAGCAACAAATACAAATTGATGAACTTATAAAAATAAAATCATTTATATTATTTCTGGAGTTTATCTGTTTCCTTCATTGCTTGTTTTTTGTTAATAGGGGTTCTGAAGAAGCAGTGCATTTTACTTCAATAGAGATTTCAATATTACTTATAGTATTTAGCCAATTGAATGTTCTGGATTGAATTTTATTTAAAAAATGGAGAGCTACAATTCAACGAAGATTCGGTGACTGAATTGAATGATAATCTAAACAAGCTTGTAACCTCTTGCTTACTTAAACCTGAGCAGAAACTCAACATTGTCAATCAATGTCTGTTCCCGGATCTTACTTACCCTCTCAGAACTGCGACCCTCACAAAGCTGCGCCCTGCCCTACTGCATCGACACCATGATTCATAGGAGCGTAAAGGCCATTATTAGATTCCCTGCGAATACCTCCACAGCGATGTTGTATGCCCCCCGGAGATACCGAGGATTGGAATAAATCCGCTGCCAAAGCTAGGTTCCTCTTCAATATTGGTCCATTGCTCAGCGACTGTCCAATGTACCAGATGCCCTTTTCCAAACTACCTTCGATTATTCGGCTGAAGTTGCTGAACGTGCCAAAAGATTGGGGTTTGATCAGAGTCATCGAAATCTGAGAGGTCTACGCAATCGCTACGAGAAAATTCGTTTGAGGAATGGTTCAACTACAGGTGGCAGGGCATTGGTGATCGCCATTTTAAAGAGATCCCGAGAGCGAATAAGTTCATGTACGAAAAGCAGGTACTTTCTGGGTTCGAATGGTCGAATACCCTGAAACCAAACATCAACCCTTATCCCACGGGCTCCAGGACTATTCGTGGAGTTCTCAATGTGACCAAAAGTGTGAAGACCCTTAGTGTAGATTAGTGAAGTACAAGATGATGAGATTATTTGTTTTCATCCATCAATATTATAAGAGTGACGTTGTGGTTTGTCAATGTGTCAAATATTTTTTTAATATATTCTGACTTATTAAACCTATCATTAAATGCCGTTTTACAATTAAGTTAGTGATAATTACTATTATAAGAAATACTGTCCAAGGTACAAGTAGTGGCCCACAGTACAATATAGAGTGTTCCAAGTTTCAACTATATTATCTGTACCTAGAGTTACTTATTATTCATAAGTATGATTATTTTTTATAATAAAAATATGAAGATAAAATAATTTAAAAATTAACATACTGTCTTTACAGCCTGTCAATTAAAACATTATTTTGAACTTTTAAAAATAATTTTTATTTTAGAAGTTATAAGTATTAAAAAAAATGGCCGAAGGCACCAGTATTTCCCCATATGACTCATTTTTTATCAGTATCAGTTTATCTTCTGCTTAGTTTTCTGTTACTCTGCGATTGTCTGTCTTTTATCTTACAATCTCAACTATTTTTGGTTTATTATTTTCAATAATGAACCATTGTAATCGAACAAAAAATTCAAAAACTTAACCCGTTCTCAAAATTTGAGGTTTTACGTTTCAGGATACGCAAAATTCGAAAAACGAATAAAAAAATTTTTGTCCGTCCGCCGTCCGCGCGTTTTTTCTCCGAAACTAGACCGATTTTTTTTTTCAAATTTAGATTTAAAATCAGACGTCACCTGAGGATGATCCTCCTTTATCGACATTATTATCCGTCTTTCTTTCAAGATGGCGGTCGAAAAACATTCCTAAAGGAATGTACCGATTTTTTTTTTCTAAATTACCTACAAAACAAAAAAAATCGTAAAAATCGGATAATTATTAACAAAGATACAGTCCATTAATTTTGGTATACTTAATAATGTCTTCCTGTTTAAATATATTGTATTTAGGAGTAGAATAGTCTACTACACTTTTTTTTCCTAGCTGATATATTAACTTTATTATTTCTTAAAGGCATTTGGTTGTTGTTACATTTTATTTTTTTTAATAATTTAGAAAATCCCGTGATGGGGCCATTATTTTGTCTTTATTACTTTTATTATCTTTCCAGTCAGCGTTTAAAAATAGCAAAACAATTTGTACAAATATTTTTGTCTATTATGTTAAATGGAATATAGTGATCGACCAAGGAAAAAATATTAATTCCTTCCATACATAATAAATAGGAACTACTTATATACATATTGCTTTGATATTTCTTCACTAAACAAAATTTTCTGCGAACTATTGCACTAGTAACCTATAATTATGAAATTAATCATATTAAAATAGCCGATCAATAGAAAACAGAAAACAAAAATCGTAGTTATATTCTTGTTTTTCTTTCTCTAGAAAGCTTCGGTTTATGTATATTATAAAAAAACTTAAAATTGTATTGTACGACATACATTTTTTTACTTTCACTTACATATATATTTAATATATAGTAAGGGTAAGTATTGCGATCGTGAAAATTTTCGAATCTCAGTTTTCAACGGAAATACATATTGTGAGGTCCCCTGAGTTCAAATAACCAAGTGTCGCAAAATGGTCTCTGTGTGTGTCAACAGTCTAGCTCATAAACGAAAAGTAGTACGAAACTGATATTAAGTATTTAAGGTTTTTATATGGGCCGGATGTGACAGCAACTTTTTCGTTAAAATCGGCTAACCGGAAGTGCGACTTTATATGAACGCTGAAACACATTTTACAATTTTTTCAAAAACGACTCTAACGATTTTGATCAAACTCGGTGTATCATTGTAAAATTAAGTGTTCTTTAATATCATTTAGGTCTTATCCTCGTTGATGTCACTTTACAGGGCTTAAATGTCCGATGTTCATATATGTCTACCTCTGAAGTACCTTCAACGAAAAGAAGCTAGAAAAAAAAGTTACGAGATATGGTATGGTAAAATTAAATTCCGAATAACTCAAAAAGTACACACTTTTTTGTGGATGGTTTTTTAAAAGTTTATGGAATTTCCTAAAAAAATGCGATAAAATCGAACAATTAGGAGGAAAGATGTGGTCTTTAGTTTTTTCCCCTGTAGAGGTGAACATTTGTATAAATTTAAAATATACTTTTTTAATTGTTGAGTCTAAAAAAACTTTTTTTCTACAGATATTTAATAATGTATCTTACCTCAGAACATCTTTCATAAGAAATAAGTACCTAAATTTATACCTTTATTCTCAGTTCTATATTTCAACACTGCAATCACCACCTCCGGAATCAACTTACTGCACTATCTGCATAGGTAACTTTTTCAACTAAAAATATCACTAAAATGACATCGCTTAAAAACATTGAAATTGAAGTTAGTTATTCTGATGTTTATAAAAGCAAAGAAAGTTGTGTGGTTTAAAGCAGATTGAGTGACTAGATTTTTATTGCCTGTTGTCGATATATAGACATTTTGTAATTATAATGGTCTTAATGACTTGTTATCCGTAAACATTAATCTTTAGCTCCGTTTAAAATGCACTTCAAAAAAATTTATAATAACTCAGCATTGCCAGAAAATAATTTCTATTCATAGTAGATCGGTAAGTGAAAGTTTTGTGTAGCGCGCACCAGATTTTTTTATAATACTTTTCTCCTTTTCTTCAGAGATGTTTATGAATTATTATTAGAAGATTTTTTTCTCATACGTAACCTTTAAATTTATCATTCATGTTATACGAGATTGTTTATCGCCTTGTATGAATCAGGCGGAAATGTATGAATCCCTTATCGCTTACAAGGGAGCGAATTGTAATAGAATATACTGTGTTGGTCAACTGTCTGTTTCACCTAACCGTCCAATTATAATTGTGCTCTCCATTGGACGAAGGACAAGTACAACAACGAACAGCAAGTGCGTGCAGACGTCAGATCATCTGTTTTCAGGCAACATCTGCCACCATGTCTCTCCTATTTCTTCTGGTTCTGTGTGAGTAATGCGGCATCAATAAAGTTACATATTTAGATTATATCGACACCAATTTGAAAATTACTCAATCGGTAGAAAATTTAATTATCACTACATAGTTACCATAGTGACAAAAGGGCATATCCCAAGAAACATTAGAATTACTTAGTCATTCAAGTCGATTGTTGATCTTATCTGACAAAAAAACCTTCAGGATATGTAAATTCGAAATGACAATTATTACGATACTGTCAGATAAAATAAAAGAAAAAATGAATGCAATGAACTTCTTCCAAACTATAATTTTTAAATTAATTCAAGTATATATTTTGTCTTAAAATCTCATATTACTCTCTAGCAACTAGGGAGTCTAGAATATAGTTCAATAGAACCCACTGGATTGTTTAACCTGAAGTGTTTATATTTTTTGTTCCGAAAATAAGTGGGTTTTGCGTGAAAGTATGGAAGGTATGTAATATATTATAACATGTACATACATATTGTGTAAAACAATTTTGTGATTTGATGTCCTATCACCTAAAGATAGCCATGTTTTCAAAATAAAATACCACAATATACTAGTGAAAAGTATTAATTTATTTTTTTCTATGACCTGCGATTTCATATAATAAACACAAATGCATGAGTACACTTTTTATTTATTAAAAAAAAGTTTCTAATGATGATTTTTAGAAGATTTATCATCTAAAATAATATTGAAACTGTGTTTGAACCAAGATCTCTATTTTATATATATCCGTATTTTTAAGTGATCAAATAAATCTCCTAATCCTAATATTTACTTTTGAAAAGTGTGCTGATTGCTTCAATTATTTTCACGAAAACGTAAATATTAGGGTTTGGATTTACTCTTATGTAAATATATATATATATATATATATATATATATATATATATATATATATATATATATAACGAAGTCCCGCAAAATGGTCTGTGTGTGACCAGTCTACCTCAAAAACAAAAAGTCGTATGAAACTGAAATGACGTATTTAAGATAGGCATATGACTAAGATGTTATAGCAACTTTTTCCTTAAAATCGGCTAATCGGAACTGTCACTTTATGCCAACGATGAAACACATCTTTAGAATTTTTTCAAAAACGGCTGTAACGATTTTGAATTAACTCAGTGTATCATTGTATAATTAAGTCTTTAATATCATACAGGTCTTTGGTATTGATGTCACTTTGCAGGGCTTAAATGCCCAATATTTATATACGTCTTCCTCTAATGTACCTTTAATATGTTTTTTAAAAATAAATTTATCTCTCTTTTATTGAATATAACTATAAAAAATGGCTAAATATAAAGTTTGAAAGAATATGATAATTGGAAACTGAATAAAAAAAGAAAAAGGCTAATCCAGGTTGAAAGTTAATGAATGAAATTTTTCAGTGTTTATGTCAAGCTATCTTCTCGAACTATGTAATGAATCTGGAACATAATTATTTTTGGCAAATCCTGCTCTTTCTTCTACCTGATTTTGTATACCTATAAAACTGCTTTTCAAAAATGAAATGACTACAATAATAACACATGAATTCACGAAGATGGAAATGCAAATAAATGAACTTAAACCATATTTTTTTGAGAAATCAAATCAAAATTGAGCATAAGTTATTACTAACAATGGTAGATAATAATATATGCAATATTTTGTCGAAAAAAAGGAGTACTCAAGAATATTAAATCTTTAAAGCTACACCTAAAGAAATGAATAATTTAGATTTATTGAAGTTTAAAGCGCCAAGTGTTATAGAATTTAATTTTGGAATCTCATCATTACACAAATGAATAAGAATGTTTGAATGTTTAATCCACATTGCTTATAATTTGCCCTTTAAAAAATGACCAGCCTTAACTGACGAACATAACAATATCAAAAAAACAAAGTAAAAAAGAAATTCAAGAGAATTTTAAAGAGAAGATGGTCTTTTTAACAACATAAACAAAATATTTTTGAGTTTTTGTCGTATTCATCAGTACTTTCTCGTAATACAAAAGTAAATAACAAAAAGGAACTTGAAAAAGTTGTGATTGAGTGGAATTTCAAAAGAAAGCTCACAAAAAACGTATATTTTAGCAAATTTTACAAGAAGATTTTTAACAGGCACATTGATTCTAATAATAATTTTAAAAAATCTGTTTTTTTTTTAATTTTTAAACAGCAGTGTTGCCTGCAATTAAAAAAAAAAAACTGGTGCGTGCAACACACATCTTTCTCTTACCGTTCTACTTTGAATTGAAATTATTTTTTGACAATGTTGGACTATTATAAAATTTTACAAAAAGTAAATTTTAAACGGAGCCTTAAAGCTTAAAGCTTACAGATATCAAACCATTAAAATTACAAAAAGTCTATTTATTATATCGACGGTAGGCAATAAAAATCTAGTTACTCCATCTGCTTTTATAAACTATATAACTTCAGTCTCTGAGCCTTTTAGATGATAGAATGACAAACTCCAATTACAACACTTTTGAGTAAAGTCATTTTAGTCATATTTCTAGTTGGAAAAGTTATATCTATAGACATAGAGTAAGTTGATTTCGTAGTAGGTGATTGCAATGTTGAAATATAGAACTGTGAATAAAAGTATAAATTTTGCCACTAGAAACATCACTAAAATTAATAATAATGAATGTTGAAATTGGAGTTAGTCATTCTGTCAAGCGAAAGGTTCAGAGATACCTAGAGAGATTTGAAAGTACATCTGAATATTTAACCTATAAATTATTATCAATTGTAGGACTGTTAGTTATTAAACTATTATTTTCCATTGTAAAATTTACTAAAGTGAAATTACGAGATCAATGGAGATCATTTCAATAATTCTCAACATTTTGTCGTTAAACAAAACTGACATTATTGTAATTGATAGTAGCATAATCTCCAGCAAATGTGCTATCCCTCTGAGTAAAATATTCAAATAAGTCATTTAAATTGGTTAAAGATTAATATATAACTTTATTAATATATACAGATTAATTAATATATATGTATACTTAGATTAATATATACAGATTAAAATAGTTTAAGCTAACACTTACCGATTTTAATACAGATTGCCATGATTTCTAACAATTCTCTAACTTTTTCAGTTCAATGGGCCACTACCTCAGAAGCGTATAAAATTGGAGGTCTGTAAGTTTATTATTTATTATAGAACAACTCCATCAAATTTATATTTATATATTTTCTTTTGTCTTGATATACAGATTGTGGAATTGTATACGAAAAAACCCATCCACTTGTGGGCGACGGAACGGATGCTGAGCACAATCAGTTTCCATGGCACGTGGCCATATATAAATTGGGAAAAAATTCTGCCTATGAGTATATTTGTGGAGGAAGTATTATTGACAGTGAAATAATCATCACAGGTAGGTCAATATGAGCAGGCATACAGGTATAATATTTATTATTATTTTAATTTTTTTTAAGGATTTCTTCAACTAAAGCATTTATCTCCACATCTTCTTACATAAATATAATCATAATAATAAAAGGCTTAGCGAACCCGAAGGTTCGATGCCGACACCACCAATCGCTTATTACACACCTCCCTCCACCCTTCGCTGTCCAAACCCAGTCACTTCAGATTGGCTTTAATGCAATCTTCCCACCTTCGCTTCGGTCTGCCCCTCGGACGCTTACCATTCGGCACAGCAAATATTAACCTTTTAGGTATTTTCTCGTTACTAAGCCCAACAACATTACAAGCCCATTTGATTCGCCGCGGTTAACTCATCCTTCTTCGGTCCGAATATTCTACGCAATACTTTATTTTCAAAAATCTTAAGATGCTGCTCATCCCTTAATGTAAGCGGCCACGTTTTGCATCCATAAAGAACTGTAGGCAAGATAATTGTTTTATAGATTCTAATTTTTAAGTTTCGGGACAAGAGGCGCGAACTAAGTAGTTTTGTCACAGAAAAATAACAAGCATTTCCCGCCTTCAGTCTAACCTTAATCTCTTCTTCAATTTCGTTTTTTCTAGTTATAGTGGAACCTAGATACCTAAATTTATATATATCTGTTCAAACATATTACCATCTATATCGATATCACCAGTAGTATCGCCATTTTTGCAGCTAAACATATATTTTGTTTTATCCACGTTTATTTCGAGTCCTAGTTCTTTACCGGCTTTCATTAACGTTGTCGTATTTAGTTTTATAGTTTCAACGTCTTCGCTTAACAGTACCAGATCATCAGCATAGCCCAGCACGGGTGTTGTCCCGCCCAGATCCAACCCTTTCTCGGTACGCATTACCTCCCTAATGGCATTTTCTAATGCCAAATTGAACAGGACAGGCGAAAGAGAATCCCCCTGTTTTAAGCCCGAACGAACCTCAAATTTTTCGGACAAATTATTACCGATTCTAACTTAATTGAGTATCTCCGTCAAGCACATCTCGACTAGATTTATTAGTTTTATTCGGAATTCCCTGCTCGATTAGAATATTATACAGTTTCTGGCGGACAATAGAATCGTAAGCCTTTTTAAAATCTATATACAGCTGGTGAACAATACCGTTATACTCCAATTTTTTCTCTAATATTTACCGTAAAGAAAATATTTGATCAATAGTCGAACGATTCCGTCTAAATCCGCATTGGTAGTCTCCGATAATTTCCTCGGCGTATTCCGTGATCAGACTGGTTTAGATTAAAGTAAATATTTTACATAAATATATAAATACATAAAAACATAAATAGGTACAAGTACTAATCCGCTATTTAGCAAAATTTACTTCATGTTATCGTTCACAGAAAATATTAAATATTAATTTTCTTTTTTTTTTTTTTTATTCTAGCTGCACATTGTATTTTTAACGAGACGGCACAAGATATTGACTACAGCCCAATGATGGTAGTCACAGGAAAGTACAACGGTTCTTGGGATATACACGATGACCAAGGACGCGGACAACGACTAGAGGTAATACCAGTATTTTAATACTTGATTCACTGGGAAGAAAAAGGTATACTTATTTGTTTCGTTGTTCATAATGCTTCCATTAGTAAAGTCACAATGACAATAATTTCTGATAATTATTTTTTTTTACTAACTGTAAACATCAGCAGCTAAGCAATCCCGGACTTGGGGTGGGACAAAAGGTGCAATTGCCACGAGGCGTCGACCTCAAGTCGGATCTATTGGGGGCTGGTATTATTTTATATCTAATTATAAAGATTACAACACTATAAAAATTAAAAATTGTATACACACCATTGTTTAAACAAATAAAAATACCCACAATGAAACATAAATAAACATAGTGGCATCCTTTATCACTGGCAATCTAATTGGACAAAAAAAAAATGGCACTTACTTATTATGTTAAAATAAATAATTAATATACAGTTCGTGACGTTTAATGTAATAGATTAATGCAGGTGGCAAAACATATAGAAATTAATTAGTTTAAGTAATAATCTTGTTATAAGCTGTAATGTGCAAGTCTTAGGCATTTGGCGCCTAGCATTGCTTTATTAACTGTCTCAAATTAATTATTCTCACACGCGAAGTAAGATTTGTTTTAATTTATAACAAATGGCGAGGGCTCTTCCAGGTCGGGGTAATTGCCTGAGCTGCCCGGTCCTAGAGTCGCTACGTACATCCAGTCTGTTATTTTTACTTTCATTTCCTTTATTACGAAAATTACTATTTCAACTCAAAGTATGGTTATAAGCGAAAGTTTTGTGAAACGCGTTACGCACCAGATTTTATTAATATGAAAATGAAAAGGAAAAAAATGTTTTATTATTCTTGGACTGTTGTTCCTTTAGAACAAATTATAAGTACAAATTGTATGTCTGTGTAGTTACAATTAGATTATATATTTACAATAAAACTCGACTAAAAATAAAAATACTGAAGAAGAGAAAGAAAAGAACAAGAAAATTTTACATATATATGAGATACTAAAAATAACCTAAATAAATTGAGGTAGTCTCTGGGGGTGCTTAGATATTTCTCTTAAGTATATTTCGCAATCAGTCGGATTGAGAAAGGAGTAGGTGTTTAAAGAGGAGAGGTTTCAAAGAGGAAACTGATTGAGCGTGTCGAATATCAGCAGGGATGAAATTCCAGAGGGAGGCGGCTTGTATTGCAAAGGATTTGTCAAACGCAGCAGTTCGGTGAGGAGGAGGATAGAGGTCGGAAGTACGAGATCTAGTGGGACGGGATTGGATGGAGTATTTGAATTGTAAGCTGTGAAAAATATAGGAGGGTCGATGAGTTCTAATGATTTGGTACAGAAAGGTGGCTAGGAAGTACTGACGGCGATAGGATGGGTAGAGCCACCTCAACTCAGTGTAATACTGGGTAATATGCGTATCCCTTGAGATTCCGAAAACAAATCGTAGTGCGCAATTCATTAGGCGTTTAAGTTTGGCCTCGGAATCTCCCGAGAGTCCACCGTACACCATACAGCCATTGTCGAACTGTTGCTATTGAAAAATCACACTTTGAAATAAAAGAAATATTCCCTTCAATTCTCACTCATTTAAATTTAAAATAATAGAAATAAATTATATTTCAGGTTATCAAAAAGAATGTCCGACCTTCCTACAGAGGTCTACAAAGCCTGTACGACCAAGACATTGCTCTTCTAGCGCTCAACGATTCGATTATATTTTCGGACATAGTGATGCCCATTTGCATCGAATGGGACTTTATGAACATGCCTACAGATGGTGAATTAGGCGTAGTGAGTATTTTTTTAAATGTCTATAGAGATTTCAGATTTGTCTATATGGTATTTTTTTTTTTCACAAACCCTGCAGTAAGAGTTAAACTATACATAATTCATTAATTGTAAATTGGTATGTGATAAAGTTCGTCGGATGGGGCTATGACAGTAATAATGTTTTGAGTAAGGTCTTGCAAGTGACTAGAGTACAACCAGTTAACTACATCGATTGCCGTAAGAGAATGGAAAAAGGTACTACCTTTTATATTATGGGAGATAAGTTCTGTGTCAAAACTCCAGATGGTAAGTTGGAAAATTTTATTATTTTAAAAGGAAGTAGATATTTTATTTGAAGACACTTAACAGTATCTGGTTGGATAGATGAAAGTACGTTGGAAAGAGGGGACAGCGGTGGAGGAAGTGTATTCAAAAGGAGCTTTGGAACCGGCGAAGAAGCGAAAGAAAAGTACTACCTCTACGGCATCCTCAGCAGCGCCAGAGATGCTACAAACCATTCTTATATTTTTACCAACATCAGCAGCCACGTACCCTGGATCAACAGCACGAAGCTGCAACTCATCGATGAGAGTAAAACCAGGCGAGGTTAATAGCATTTGAACCAATAGTAGACCAGACAGTTTGCTTAATGATTTTTTACTTTCACTTACGTATATATTTAATATATAGTAAGGGTAAGTATTGCGATCGTGAAAATTTTCGAATCTCAGTTTTCAACGGAAATATATGTTTTGAGGTCACCTGAGTCCAAATAACCAAGTGTCGCAAAATGGTCTGTGTGTGTGTCAACAGTCTAGCTCATAAACGAGAAGTAGTATGAAACTTATATTAAGTATTTAAGGTTTGTATATGGGCCGGATGTGACAGCAACTTTTTCGTTAAAATCGGCTAACCGGAAGTGCCACTTTATATAAACGCTGAAACACATTTTTACAATTTTCTCAAAAACGGCTCTAACGATTTTGATCAAACTCGGTGTGTCATTGTATAATAAAGTGATCTTTAATATCATTTCGGTCTTATCACCGTTGATGTCACTTTACAGGGCTTAAATGCCCAATGTTCATATACGTCTTCCTCTAAAGTACCTTAAATATGGTTTATTTTAAAAAGTTAATCATTTCACATTATTCAAAGATACGAAAAAATGCTAAATATAACTTTTGAAAGAATTTGATAAGTTAATAAATGAGAAAAAAAAATGCAGAAAAACCTCCGTTGCTATAAACTGTAGCGCCTAAACGAATGTACCGATTTCAATGAAACTTCGCTAAAGTCATTTTCTCGATATCCTCTAAATTTATCTATATAACCTACTTCAACAAAAATGGTTTTTAAAAAGTTTATGGAATTTCCTAAAAAAAAAAAAAAAAAATCGTTAAAATCGGACAATCAGGAGGAAAGATATGATCTCTAGTTTTTTTCCCTGAAGATGCGAAAACTTGGATAAATTTAAAATATATTTTTTTAATTGTTGAGACTAAAAAAAAACCCTTTCCTACAGATATTTAATAAAGAGTCTTTCCTAAGAAATAAGTACCTAAATTTATACCTTTATTTTCAGTTCTATATTTCAACACTGGAACACTAGAATCAACTTACTCATTGCCTGCATAGATAACTTTTTCAACTAGAAATATCACTCAAATGATATTACTCAAGAATGTTGAAATTGGAGTTAGTTATTCTGTCAACTGAAAGGCTCAGAGACTGAAGTTATGTGGTTTATAAAAGCAGATGGAGTCACTAGATTTTTATTGCCTGTCGTCGATATATTAAATAGACATTTTGTAATTATAATAATGACTTGTTATCTGTAAGCTTTAGCTCCGTTTAAAATGCACTTCCAAAATTTTATTTATAATAGTCCAGCATTGCCAGAAAATAATTTCTATTCAAAGTATTTCGGTAAGTGAAAGTTGTGTGTTGCGCGTACCAGATTTTATTAAAGACTTTTCCACTACTATGGTTGTCCTTAACTTATAGTAGTGGATATATTCTTCATATATCATATATTCTTTAAGATATTTTTCCATCCTTCTCTATCTTAGACTTGTTCTTCTATGATGTCATGACTCTCCAGGCTTTCTTCCTCCGCGTCTTTCCATTTTACCCTTGGTCTTCCCCTTCTACTTCCAGCTCCAAACACATCTTTGGCAATCTTTCAGGCGTCATTCTTTTCATATGTCCAAACCAGTATAACCTTTTCTTTTCAATATTTGCTAAAATGTTTTTTCCCACTTCCATCATTATCAGAATTCTTTTATTTTTGATTCTCTCCCTTCTGGATTTTCTTCCTGCTCTTCCCCAAAAGTCCATCTCTTCTGCTAACAGTCTGTTTCGGTGTCTTGCATTGATGAACCAAGTCTTTGAGACATATGTCGTAATTGGCTCGATTATAGCCTTGTATATACGCCCCTCTCAAAACCTCTACCTTTCATCGCTGTCCCACTCCCTGAATGTGTCAGCAAATTAAAGATCTCCAGAAGAGGCATGATGCTGCCCGTGGACGCTTTAGACGTACTATGCTGCCGACGACTACCAAGCGTTTAGGGTGTTCCGCAATCTGAGTCATTAAAACCAAAATAAAAAATAATTAAAATGTTTTTCTATATTCAATCTGAAACTATCGGTATTCTAATACTTAGTTGTTAATCAGTTATTCTAAGTATTTTTAGATATTATCATGTTAAGAACTATGTTTGAACAACAATTTCAAAGTAAACAAAAAATATAATAGATTAATTGATTTAATTAAATAATACTGATTAAATCAATATAAAAAAAATAAAATTTATTTCAATTTCGGGAAAAATTCAAAGCCTAAATTTAGATCACCCAAACTTCATATCATCTTAGTTATAGATGTTGTTATGTCCATATTATTTTGGACTCACTGTGGATCATCCACTATCATCTATATACTGATTGAGGACGTCTGGTATTAATTGTTTATTAAATTTTAAATTGGTCCACAATCGTCTTATCTTTTTGTCTGAAGCCTCCTCCAAAATGGTACAGAAAAAAATATTAAAAACTATCTCTTAAAGTATTCTTGTTCGTGTAATTACATTTAATAGGACTTCAAGAACCACTTAAACACCATTTCATATCGATAATTAATTTCTTTATTTTTTTTTCAAATTAATTATCGTTATATGTATATGAAAAAAAAATCTTTCGGGCTGAAGCCCCTCCCCAAAAATTAAATCCTGGATCCTCTAGTAGTGTACAGTCACCAAGCAATTACCAAATGTCTGTGTACACAGCGCAGTATGGCCTTACTTCACGTTAAGATTAAATTTTAGTTTAATTTATCTCAAAATTCAATGCAATAATAATTTATTTATAAATAAATTAGGTATGATTTAGAGTGAACAGCTGATTAACGTTACTAATTTTATATTTCAGTTTGCGGTATAAGGACTCCGATTAATTATACCATGCCAGGTGGCTTTGTAAGATCATACACGAATTACCCTTGGCTCGCAACCATATACATGAAGAAGAATGGCAAGTTCTTTGGGATCAGATGTGTAGGAACCATCATACATCAGAGAGCAATAATCACAAGTAATCTTCTTAAAATTATTTTTTTGTTTTAATGCTAATCAATATTTGCGGTGAGCGTATTAGGATTGGTGTGATCTCGCTTTAATTTCAAGAGAATTATTTAAAGATTTTTAATATAAGTTATTAATTATCATAAAACCTTAGCTAGGTTGAACCTCCTACAAGCCATTGATCTAAAAATGTCATGTAGGCTAATCGTGGTAACTGAACCTCGATTAATATCATCTTAAATATTATTTATGAATATATATCCCTTTTCCGACTCTCAGGAGTGATGAAATTCGACAAATGAAATCAATAGAAAGAGAATCTTACGTAGAATGCGCAAATCGTAATTTTGATTGATAATTTTATACAAGAAATTAAATAACAGTGAATGTAAAAGTGGTTGATTTACAACAATGTGATGATGCCATTCCAACGAATAACTCGAATAGTACTCAATTTTGCGTAGTAAGGGGGAGGGGAGGAGAGCACATACCGGCCTTAAGCTTAAACTGTTTTTTTTTATTATATTTCTTAAGCTGTTTAATATTATGTAATATTTGAATTTTATTTCATTCAACATTTCTCTAATACAGTTATGTTATTGATAGACTAAAATTAGTTATTTTAATATACTTTTTATTTTTAACATGTAGCGAGCGCCACTCTAAGAGGAGCTCCTAGAACGTCGCAGGATATATATATATATATATATAATATATATATATATATATATATATATATATATATATAATACTACAATATTTTTTTATAATTCGACCTTTATACACTGACAGGCAAAAAATTCCACCCACTTGTTACCCATTAAGGAACAACGTTGGAAAGGTTGGCTCTGGGAAAAATTACAGGCTGCATATCTTTCGTTTCTTCTCCTCTTGACTCATCTGTAAAAATTACAGCACTCCATTCGTCCATAGTCCAATGGCTGTGTTCTCGAGCAAAAGCCAGCCGTGTTACTGTGTGAGTTCTGGTCAACTCTGGTCCTCTTACTGGACGAAAAGCCATTAATCCATACTCATTTAATCTTCTCCGAGCGATACGTTCAGAAATTTCCACACCTCGAACTTCTTCGAGCTGATGAATCGCTTGAACAACGGTAAGGTGCCGGTTTCGTAAAATTCTCAAAGTCAAAAACCGGTCATCCCGTGGTTCTATTACCCTAGGCCGTCCAGAACCGGGCCTTCTATTGTAAGAACCAGTTTCTCGAAAACGCCTGACGGCTTCTCGTAAAGTTTCATATGGAACTCCGATGGCATTAGCTGCATATCTAATGGAACGTCTACCATCAATAAGTGCTACACCATGTGCAACATCCTCAGCACTAAGAGGCATTTTTAAACTTAATATTGACAAAATTAAAAGCCGAAGACTAAGAAATGTGCTGCAAGAAACGGCACTGAACTAATGATACTGAATAAACATTTTGATTCCATAGAAAGTAAACATTGGAATCTAGAATCATTTCATTGAATTAAGGATTAAGGGTTATTGTCCTCTATATTAACATTTCTAATTGAAAACAAACAAAAAGATTACCTATTTATTCATTAAAAACAATAGACCAATCCAAAGCAGAAATATTTTTAGATGAAAACATGAAAAAATCAAATGGGTGGAATTTTTTGCCTGTCAGTGTATATTATAACTTAATATATGAATTATAGTCGGATAATAGGTCATGAAATACACTTAAATGACTTAAAACAGCTTCTGTTTATTCCATTTATTCTAAAACGTTTCTATCCCTGTTTTTTTAACATAAATAATGGGATCATCTTCAGTGTTTTAATTGAGCATCGACACTCCAAGCCGAGCAGCACATAACATGTAAGTTGACATAACAGTACCGCCACAGCTGTTTTAAATCATTTGAGTGTATTTCATGACATATATATATATATATATCGGAAATGCTCACCCACTCTCTTCCCCTCTCTCTCCTCGGGAGACTGCTCTATCTACATGGAGACACTAAATCAGGAGACGCCGATTGGCGATATTCGCTTGCTGGTGCCCTTGAAGCTCTTGCGAACTTTGGTTCAATGTGATGTCTTGCCATCGTTAAATAGAATATTACTGGATTAAAATTAGGAAAAGCCGAAAACAACTGTTTGTATACGCAATGATTATTCTTCATAATAACTATCCTTTATTTAATAATTTATTAAAAATAAAGAATACTAGTTATTAACTTTTTTTTATTTATCAACGAATAAGAAAATTCCTAAAAAAAAAAATAAAAACAAGTCAAACAAATATGTTCCTATTCTATTTTGAGCAGTTTATATGGATTTATTCTACATTAGATTATCGAAAGATAAAATCAGCACATAATCCTAATTATATCTATAAATAGTTCAATTATAATTTTTATATAAATATCAATAAATTATAAGATAATCCTAGATTCTATTAACTGACACATTAAATAATCAATACTGAGATATTTATAGCTATTAAATTTTTATTATTAAATATGCAGGTACCTGGTGCATCAAGGACACAAGACCCCATTACAAAGGTGTCGAATTCCGGGTCATCACAGGCAAGCATGAACTATACATGAATAAGAAGGAAAAAGAAGATGGCCATCTAGATCATACTGTAAGTTCAGTAATATTGATCATTTCTTTTATCTCATATCGTATTCATTAAATGAGTCGTATATTTCCAAAATGATTCCCATTTTTAAACAATTGACCATGTTTTAAGAAAACGCGTAGAACTATATGTTCTGTTAAATGGTCTTTGATATAGTCTTAATGTTATTGACGTAGTATGACAAGGCTAAAATGGCTTCTTCTATAACAACTTTAGTTATGTTTATTGGAAATAATTGATATCTCTCATAGTTAGTAGATCAGATGAAATCACTATATGAATAAGAAATCCCGTGAAAGTTTAAAAAAAAAAATAGTCTTGAACTATTATATTTAAAGTATTGTTATCTATCCGCTCATAGGTTAGTAGTTTTAGAGAGATATTAAATGAGCAAAAATGAAAATGATAATGATGCACGTGAGCCTGATACGAAGGTTGAGTCTGGTATTGAACCGTCTTCCTTTGAGGACGCATTAGAAGGATTAAGGATTAAACTCCTGCAGAGGATAGTATATGGTCAGTAATTATTAGGTGTGGTGGAGATTTTTTTTGACAGAGATTATGTAGTCTGATGCTAAGAGCTTGATGAGGAAATACCTAAGGAATGGGGCTCAGGTTTAATTTTCCACCAAATTCAAAAAAAGTAATAAAATGGTATGTGAAAACCAGTGGTGCCCATCCTCTCTCAAGATATTTTATTTCTCTCTTCTTTTTAAAAACAGTGCAAACGAAAGTATAATTTAAATATCTGTAGATTATATACAATAACACATACTGCGGTCTGTTCCATGCTTCCACTTGTCTTTTGATCAGAAACTTTTCATTTTAAAAATTCATAACCCCATCGAAATGTTCTCCCCCCCCTCAAAAATAGAAAAACCCGTCAAAACGTGCTCTCTCATAAATTTTGATAGCGCAACTTGCGCCACGAAACACTCTTCTGGGTACATCTGGTGAAAATTGCCAGGGAATAATCCTTTTAAATGCCGTATATAAAATTGTATCCAACCTACCAGAAGGTTGGACTCTGAATACATTTTTAGTCTAAAAGCGAAGACTAAAAATATATACAGAATGAACCATAACGATTTACCAGTGTGGTTTTCGGCCCTACAGAGGTACTACCGATCAGATTTTGATTTTACGACAGGTGCTCGAAAAGTGTTACGAGCACGATATTGTTATTCATAGACTGTTTATAGATTTTAAACAAGCCTCTGGCCGAATAAAAAGTACCCAACTTTTTTAGTGCATTGCGTATAAACTAATAACATCCCGTATAAACTAATTCACCTAATTGTAGTAGTATATATATATATATATCGCAATTAAGTTGATTAGCCTGGAAATAAGAGGAAGAATCATGGTAAGCAATAGAGCGTACTTTGGTATCCAGAGTCACAAAACTCAAAGTGTACAATTCCTTGGTTCGACCAATTGTGTGCTATGGAGCAGAAACCTGAACGCTGAAAGTAGCTGACCAGAAGGCACTAAGGATTTCGAAAAAAAATTATAAGACGAATTTTGGTCCCCTATGTATACAAGGAGAATGGAGGATAAGGACAAATCACGAGCTGGATGAACTGTTCAAGAACGACGATATAAGTACGCTTTATTAAAGCTAAAAGAATTAGGTGGGTAGGACACGTGAAAAGACTGCCAGATGACAAAGCAACGAAGAAGATACTTAGGGAGGAACTTCCCGGAAAAAAGAAAAAGAGTAAGACCGGGGAAATGTTGGAAAAGTGACGTGGAATGAAGAGGATTTAACGAACATTGAGCATTTAAGCTTTGTTAAGTGACATCAATGGGGATAAGACATAAATGATATTAAAGACCGTTATAAAAATGTGTTTCACCGTTGATATAAAGTGGCACTTCTGATTAGCCGATTTTAAAGAAAATGTTGCTGTCACATTTAAGGCATGTACCTATCTTAAATACGTAATATCAGTTTCGTACGACTTTTCGTATTTGAGCTAGACTGTTCACATACACATAGGCAATTTTGCAGGATTCGGTTATTTGGACTAGAGAGACTCTGAAATTATTATTTATATTTTAATTTGTCACTCTCCTTTGCCTTCTACAATTTTATTTATTCTTCATTATGTAATAAACTATTTTTTCTAAAACTCTGTGCTTTCCAATGATATATTATACGTTTACCTTCGGACTGTTGTTACTAGAGATTTATTTTCAACCTGGATAACCATTTTTCTTTTTTTCTCCAGTTTCCAACTATCATATTCTTTCAAACTTCATATTTATCCAGTTTTAATAATTACTGTCAATAAAAGCGAGTTAATTTTTTTAAATAAACCATATTAAATGTACTTTAGAAGAAGATGTATATGAACATTGGGCATTTAAGCCCTGTGATATTAAAGACCACTTAATTATACAATGATACATCGAATTTAATCAAAATCGTTAGAGCCCTTTTTAAGAAAATTGTAAAAATGTATTTCACCATTGATATAAAGTGGCACTTCCGGTTAGCCAATTTTAAGGAAAAAGTTGCTGTCACATTTAAGGCATATATCTATCTTAAATACGTAATATCAGTTTATTACGACTTTTCGTTTTTAACGAAACTTGGTTATTTGGACTCAGGAGACCTGAAGACGTGTATTTCCATTGAAAACTCAGATTTTAACATTTTCACGATCACAATACTTTTCCTTACTGTACATTACATATAATTTTACATAAGTGAAAGTAAAATTGCTAACATATAGTATGATCTTTATTTATTTAAAATTAAATACATGTACTTTCAAATCTCTCTTTGTATATAGAGCTCAGAGATTGGAATCATGTTATGCAAATAGATTGATGGGGTTATGATGGTATTATTGTCTATAATCGATATAAGAAACAGGGTTTGTGTTATTTAGATTGACTTATTGAGTTTTTGCATTCATATAAATGATCTTAATTCACAACTATATTCTTTAAGATTAAGCTGTTAAAGATTTACTTCAGAAACGTTTTGTAATAACCAGATTTTGCCTGAAAATAACGTTCAAAGTAGAGCAGTAAGTGAAAGTTGTGGGATGCGCGCACCAGATTTTTATTATTTATTTGAAACATTATTGGCAGCTTGACAAACAAAAAAGTTTTCCATAATTAGTTTTACTTTTGTACTTTTATATTTAAATCTGTTCTAACATTACTGACGTTTATTAATACATTTTAAATGTATTTCTATTAAATGTAGGGTAATAAATTATAGTTATGTTATGCGCACACTACATCAGTTTTTTTTTTTTATATTACTTCATTGTATACTGCTATATTTAAAAATAAGTTTTAAGTCCAAATAATATATATATAATGTCTTTAATAATTTTAATAAGTAGATAATTAAAATAATTTTGCAGATAACCAAATATCATAGACAACAAAACTACGTCGATTGGAACTCCAGGACAGAAAACGACATGGTGATCCTCATCATTGAACCCGGAATCAATTTTACAACAGCAGTGGTTCCTATTTGTATGGATTGGGTTCGAAGATTTCAAATTACAGAAAAAGTAGGAATGGTAAGATGTACATATTATCATATTGTTTTTCCTATGAGTTTCAATATATTTTAGGAATATGGTAAATGCGAAATCGGAATTTACGACCAGACAATACACTTTTATAGCATTAAGATGTTATAAAATATTTTATTCGAAATATTGTCCCTTGCTATTGATGTTTCTAGTAGCAAAATTTATACCTTTATTCACAGTTCTATATTTCAACATTGTAATCACCTACTCCGGCATCAACTTACTCAATGTCTGTATAGATATAACTTTTCCAACTAGAAATATCACTAAAATGACATTACTCAAAAATCTTGGAATTGGAGTTAGTCATTCTGTCAACTGAAACGCTCAGAGACTGAAGTTTTGTGATTTATAAAAGCAGATGGAGTAACTAGAATTTTTAATGCCTGCTTTTTGAAGTTTTAATCGTCTTAATGATTTGTTATCTGTAAGCTTTAAGCTTTAGCTCCGTTTATAATGCACTAAAAATTTTATAATAATCCAACATGCCATAAAATAATTTCGATAATTATTTACAAGTGGTACTCCTTCGAGCATCTTGGTTGAATTCAGGTTATCCACAATGTTTCAGATAAGATTTACAAAGCATAACACCAGGGTTGTCTTGTCAGCTCTTGTCCCCTCCACCTTACGTTCATTACAAATAATTACCAAATATAACCTTTACAATATATATTAGCAGCATTTTTTTTAACTTGTCGATTTTTTGTATCTTCGATATATCAATTAAACAAACTTTATATTTTCGATGTTATTTATAGACACATATTACCTCGATCAATTTTTTTTTTCATTATTTATTTCTAATATTATTTATGATTATTGTGTTTATATATTGCCTGTTTTTGTTTATATAATTGAAAAGGATAATCTTATTAAAACTCTTAAAGAAAATTGTAAATTGTTTAATATATACAATCTAAAATATGCAATGGTCAACTATCAAGTATTTAAAAATTTAGATAAAGTGTCACAATTAAAACAAAATTTAAGTTAATGAAGTTCGTCCAATGAAACATATTGTTTATGATAGTATGTAGCCCATTACACTGAAAATCTGTTTGATTGACAGAATATATATATATAAACTATCAGCATAATTAATATTATGTTGATAAGATGGAAATTGGAATGGGTGTTCAGCCGATATTTATTTCCTATGAAGTGAAAATGGTGTGGAAAGAATACTAACTTTAAAAAAAGGCGGGTAATATGTAACCTCGACGATATAATTTCTACGTTTACTTAAAAAGGAGGTGAGGAGGAGGGGGCAAGAACCCCTTCGCAATAGTGGCGCTTTCTGGTGTTATATTTTGTAAACCTTGTCTGAAACATTGTGAATAACCTTGATTCAACCAAGATGGCCGAAGAAGTACCATTTGTAAATAATTACCATAATTTCTATTCTATATATGAAATGGTGTTTAAGTGGTCCTATAAGGATTGTTAAATTTAATAATAATAATAATAATAAATAAAAAAGGTTCCTAAAAGAAAAATAATGTTTTTAGAGATACATTTTTTTATTGATACGTCATTATATTCAGTACCTGTATAAGTGTTACAATTAAAAATGAGAGATTTTTTAAGCATTCAGAAAAAACAAATATACATCAATGAAAATTATATGGCCAACAATAGCCACACTATTATAATTTATGATTAAATATTATTTTCTGTGATAAAACAGTTTTACTTAAATATTAATATTTTTTGCAGATAGCTTCTTGGGACATTGATGAATGCCATTGTCAAGTTGTGGCCAACTACACATATCTTAATATCACAGATTGCGCGGAGGCTTTTCAAGACGAAGAGGAGTACCAAACCTACGTCACGTCGGAAAAAGTCTGCGGCAGATATCACAATGGTAATTTTTTTATTCATTGCGTAAAATATCGTTAGTTAGAAATTAAATATTATAACTCGTACTGATTAAGGTTTTAGAAAGACAATAATACTCCTCCAGCGTTTCCACCACATTTTGTTTTTAATTTCCCTTTTGGTGAGTCAGATTTTTCTCTCGGAATTCCCTTTTGGTCAGTCAGATTTTTGTGTCAATTTTCTCATGTCAGATTTTCTCGGGAAGTACTGGACCGATTTTGTTGCTTCATTTTTTATTCTGTAGGATTTTGACTACTGATGCCTGTGACAGAAATTCAATGAAACAGGTAAGAAAGTTGTGTGAGTGGACACACCAGATATTTTTGGAATGGAATCACGGAATCGAAGAAATTGTTTAAGGATAGTTATGGATTTATGGGTAATCTGGGAAATGTGGTTGTTCCAAAAGAGGTTCTGATTAAAGATCACTCCGAGGTTTTTGACTGTTGGAAAGAAATGGATGGGACGGTAATTTAGGTAAAGTAAAGGAGAGATAGGTAGGGAACTAATGAGGTGCTTGAAGCCGATGAGGATTGCCTTAGTTTTGTCTGCGTTCGGGTTCAGTTTATTTATTTTTTGCCCACATGTGGATACATTCAATATTCTCTAGTAGTTTTTGGGTAGCTTTGGGCATCTCAAATGGTTGAACGATAAGTAAACTCCTAGGATCTTGTTACATTCTCACTCGGAGGTACTCCGGTAGATCTGCTAGGCATTCTCATCCAATCTTGCACTTGTAAGTCTTCTCTCCGCAGGAGGTCGAAAGGTATTCCTCATTATTCATTATCTTGGGACGGATCATCTCTGGGGGAAGATTTACGTCATGAATATCTTCGGTGTATTCCACAGTGATTGCCAAGCAGCTCCGCACTTCAGAGCGGCAATCACTTGTTGTGAAGTCAACTGTCCAAGACCACCCTGTAAGAAATACCCCAACGTTTGTTGGTTGACCTCTCAACAATAAAGTTATCCATAGAATTCCGTTTTTGTAAGCGCACCTCGTTTCGGTATGCTTTGGCTCTATACCTGAAATTAGTCACGAAATGTAATAAGGCGTCACAATTACACATCTGGTATGACCGCCGGAGTTGTAGTGCTCTCTCTTCCTGATGGTTAAGGACAGCGTCCACCATGGGACAGGTCGAGCTTTATCCTTATCCCGTTTATCACCAAACAATTTTGTTCCAGCGTTGACCGGAAGATACTCCAATGTTTTCTTCGAGTTATAACCTTCATCATCATAATCCATCCTCTTGAACCGCATTAAGCAGTGTGAGGAGGAAGTTTATAGAGCCTTCTCCAGCTCTGCCGGTTCTCCACAAGACGCCTTCTATCGTTCCATTGAAGACCTCTTCTCTGGACATCGCTCTTTACCTCATCTTTCCATTTCCTTCTAGGCCGCCCTCTTCCTCTCTTGCCGTCTACTTTATCTTGATAGGTTTCAATAGCTATTCTATTTGGTTCCATCCGCAAAAGATGTCCTAGCCATCTTAGTCGATTCTCTTCAATCACATCATTGGCCGGCTTAATATTGAGGTTCGACCTGATGATGATGTTGCGTACTCTGTCTCTTCTCGTTTTCCCCTAAATCTTTCGGAGGAATCACATTTCTGACGCTTGTATCCTTGATTGATGTTTATTTGTCAGCGTACATGATTCTGAAGAGTACGTTAAAACGGGAAGAAATGTCGATCTGAAAACAGCCACCTTTGTTTTCTTTTCCACCTTAGGCCTGTTTAGAAAACTTTTTTTAACTGCTTCAAACATCCTGCTCGCAGCAGCGATTCGCTCAGTCACCTCTGAATTGATGCATCCATTTTCATTAAAGTGTGCACCCAAGTATTTGAAGTTTTCTACCTGCTCGAGGATTTTGTCTTCGACTCTGATGTCGCGCATATTTCTCCTAGGCTTCTTCCCAACCCTCATTACTTTCGTTTTTCCAGGGTTGATAATCATATTAATCTTCTGCAATTCTTCTTTTAATTTATTAATATTGTACTGAAGATTCCTGTCATTGTCCGAAAAAATAACAACGTCATCAGCGAATGCAAGTATTGAGAGGCTCACCGATCTCAGGTTGGCATATCCCAGATGAAATTTCCGCATTTTTCCTTTATCCCTTCGTATTGCTGAGTACATCACTAGTATAAACACAATATTTATAACCTTATAAAACCTTTGTCTGTGCCTTGGGAACTAAATCAACTTGCCATCAACCTAAGGTATGTCGCCTGATGGTAGGAATTCGTCTCAAATCGAAGGGTCCAATCCATGATGCGGTTTGCCAGAGTCAAATAGATCCAACAGTTTCCTCTTGCACTAGAGAAGGTTGTAGATCGCTTATGACTACAAGTTCGCCTAGCTGGCCGCCCCTTGATCGGCAACCATGATTTGAGAGGTCAAATCCCGGTGTCGACGGGACTTAACTTTGTCAATAATCTAGCGTTCTCTTCTCCCTCTCACCTCTCCTTGGCTACTTTGATATGAAGCGACTTAATTGTATTAATTAATCAATATAGTACAATTACATTAATTGTTTAAAATCAATACAATACAATTATATTCATTGTTTAATTTCAATAACATACAATTAAATTAATGGTTTAACATCAATACAATACAATTATAAATATTAATTTTCAGGAACTCGTTTCTTATACGGAAGCGATATAGGTGCAGGTTTCTTTTTCTATAAGAACGGAACAACAAAGCACTATCTCCAAGGCATTGTTAGCAGAGGACGACCGACTGACCAAGACTTCCTCATCTTCACTAATGTGGAATTGAATCTCCGTTGGATCAGCGACATCGTGTTGAGTATTTACAATCCTGGTTCCTGGTACTGAATTCCAGATTGTTCAGCATTGAAGCTAATTTTGTTTTCTTATTTTAACTCATATCGAATGTTTATTTCGAAAAGTAACATTTCACAAATTTAAAGTACTATTTACTTTGAAGTAGTTTCTTTCTGTTAAATAAGAACATGGTTGGTGCCTTAATGTAATTTTTTGATATATATATGGATCATTTCAACATCTCGATTACATTTATTTCACTATTCAATAAAAGTGTCAAATCATAACCGAAAGATGCTAAATAATTAATCTCATGGTCAACATTCTTTTAGAGACATATATTCAATTCATTAAAATGTGAATATGGATTTAGGCCCTTCGTTATAATGCTCAAAATAAACAGCTTACCATGTTAGTACCTCCATATATTTTTATATACAGTCCATATACTTTTTACCAACTCATATAACTACAAATTTTACCATACGATGAATTGAATATATGCTTCAAAAAGGATGTAGACCATGAGAATAATTATTTAACTTCTTCCAGTTATGATTTGACCCTTTTATTACATAGTGAAATAAATTTGATTGAGATTTTGAATTAAAAAAATAAAAAAAACATATAAAAAAATTACAATCAAGACACCAACCATGTTCTGATTTGATAGAAAGAAACTACACAAAAGTTAATAATTTTTTCAATTTTGTGAAATGTTACATAATGACTTTGTTCAATAAATCCAGGATATGTTTTGTATATTATTAACGACTCTTTATATTGTTCATGTATTTCTTCTTTAATTTTATAATATCTCCAACAATTGTTATAAAAATGCTTTATAAGTCATCAACAAATACAAAATAATAAACTTATACAAATAAAATCATTTATCTTATTTCAGTAGTTTATTTCTTTCATTGCTTGTTTATCGTTAATAGGTGTTCTAAAGTAGCAGTTCATGTCACTTCAACTGAGATTTCGATAATACCTATATTATTTGGCCAATTGGATGTTCTGGATCTTATTTTCTTTAAAAAAATATTATCTTTTTGTACAAAACTTAATCTAGAATATTAATGTATAGATTTTCTAGATAATAAGCTTGAGTTGGATTCTAATTTTCTCAACTTCACTATTTGAGTTGAATATTTTCAATAATGAAAAACAGAGTAATCCCATTTCAAAATTTTAGATTTTATATGCAGGAAAAATAAAAATACAAAATCTACCTCTCTACTATTTCTAGTGTCCCCAAATGTAAGGCAAGAGTCGGTTAAATATGTTACTCAAGATCTTAGAAAATGCTACAGAATAAATACATTATTAGGATAGAACTAACTAAACTAAATATACATACATACATAGATTAGAATAGCATAAAAAAATAACTTTATTCTGGAACGAATTCCTAAAAAATAACAGAAAGTTACAGAACGGAAGAAATACATCTGGTCAGAAGAACTACGATAAATAAAAAAAGTTACATTAAATAACTAGAAAAACTCTCCAACATACAAATAAGAAATGAAACAAAATAATCGCTTTTTAGCTAAAAAAAAAAATATATTTAAAAAATGAAGATAAAAAAAACAGTAAATATAATATATATTCTTCTAATAGATGAGCACCAAGTAAAAATAAATAATGTTATGTTATTGGAAAAATCCAAACCCCACAGTTTTATGTCTCCAAAATACAGGAAAAGAAAAATCCGCCAAAATTTCGCCAATTCAGGCGTCATGAGGAGAGAAAAGAACAGCTAATAGAACATCACTGCATGCAATCCAATCGCATAGCCATATCCATAATATATATGTTTATTGTTTTATTCTGTGTTGAACGTGAATTTTGATCACCACTCATAAATCATTGTGAGTAGATAAAATTTGTTCTTATTAATTTCTAATTTTTCTATTCATGAGATTGTATTTCGTTGAAATGTATTTTATTTTCTAATTATCTTCAATATACTTATATAGTTTTATATAGAAATATAATTTAGTTGTTTTTTAGTAATTTTTTATATAAATTACTGTGAAATTTAGGAGGGACAGATTCCTTTTATGAAATAATGGTTGGATCGATAGGCAGAAAGTGCCCCCTCCTCACCAGAGCCTCGGGAACAAACAAGCCCAATAAATGAAAAAAATACAACTTAACTACAATTAATAAACGAATAAACTACAACCTTAACTAAAATTATAACAAAAGTGTTCGAAATTCTGACTTATTTTTTTATTCTTTCCTTATAAAACGGATGGAAATATTATTACATATTTGTTATAAGAAAAAAAATGAAAATATCGTCATTCACCACAATGGCCATTGTCACAAAGCGATTACATTGTATAACGTGATGAATGTGTAAATTTAATCATTTAAATAAATGAATAAACATTTATTTTGTTCATTTCCTTTGACCATGTTGCAAGTGCTTGCATGGAATAGAAAAGTCAAAAAACTAATTTTTCAACATTTATTTGATATCTGAAAAACTAATTTTGTTTTCGAGGGGAATAACTAAATTCAATAACATTTTAAACATGTTGACAAGAATGAGGTTACTTAACCTAAGTCCACATTTGGGTTATTATATATCAAATCAATCCAAGCCAGAAGGTCTTGAAATTTCATATATATTTTTGGTTAGCTGTTGCATGCATTAGTATACAGTAATATGAAAAAAATTAGATTTTTTGGCCTTACTGTTTTTAAGATAAAAAATCGTAAAAGTAATAAAAAAACAACGAAAAATGTAGCGTTAATAGTTGGGCTATTTATCGAGGACTAATGGTGCTAGAAAGGTGGGACAGTTGCCATATATTCAATTGTTTATGCTCTTTTGATATATTACATGACCATATTTTAAAAATATAATATTCTTTCGGAAAACTAAAACCGCTTTTTTTGAATTTGGAAAAAAACACCTCTTTTCATTTTTATTATTAAAAAACATTAGATGCACTAAAATGCCATCAAAGTCTGCCAATATCAGAGTAAGCACAAAATTATAAATAATTACATTTAATGTATCTTAAGAATACACATTACAATGTTACAATAAGGTGTCTGGTTTTTTTTTTAGAATAGATTCACGGCATTGTTTAAGGACAGTTTTTCGGGTATGCTGGGAAATTCGTTTATTCCAAGAGAGGTTCTGATCAAAGATTACTCCATCAAAGACTTTTGACTATTGGAAAAAATGGATAGGACGTTAATTGAGGTAAAGTAAAGAAGAGAAAGGAAGGGAACTAATGAGGTGCTTGGAGCCAATGAGGATTGCCTTAGTTTTGTCTGCGTTCAGCTTCAGTTCGTTTTTTTCTGCTAACCTGTGTGTACAGTCAATATCCTCTTGCAGTTTTCGGGTAGCACCAGGCATCTCAGAAGGTTGGAACGATAGATAAATTTGGAGATCGTCTGCATATAAATGACATCGGGAGTGACGAATGGAGTAAGGAAGGTCGCTAATATAAATGTAGAAAAGGGTCGAAGAGAGTGAAGAACTTTGAGGAATACCTAGTGAAAAATGAAGGGATAAGGAAGGAGATTTGTTTAGAATAACAACTGTCCAGAAGCGATGAGATAAAAACGAGAGGAACCATTTCAGAATAATATTCTATATGGGTAGGCTTTGGAGTTCGGAAAAGAGGGTATTATGATTGACTGAATCGAAAGCTTTCGAGAAGTTGAAAAGGACTAGGATATAGATTTTCAGTTTAGCTATGGATGATTAGAGGTCTTGATAAATCTTTAACGAGGCAGATTGGGAGGAGTATTGGGAACGAAAACCGGATATTTGATAATTGAGGAAACGGTTTTGTTCGAGAAAGTTATTCAACTGTGAGTAAACTAATGTTTCTAGAGGCTTAGATAAAATGGAAATGGATCTAAAGTGGAAGCTAATGAATAAACTTTGTTCAACGGCCGGGCAACGTCTTTTTTCCAGACTTTAGGAAACATTGGTGGGAGAAACTGTGGATTTATAAAACTATAGGATTGCTTCCATTATTTTCATCAAAACATAAATATTCGGGCTAGATACCTTAAGTTCGTCACTTTTAAATACGCATCACGACAGAAATCTGGCAGAAAAACAAGAGATAAAAGCTTTGCAACAGTTAGTTGTTGTCATTTTTTCACAAAATAAGGGTAGTTTAAGGTAACTGGACAGGAAATCAGATAATTTCTTTACACAATTTGAGGTGAATCTCAATTTTTTTCCTAATAAACCTGAGCTTAATTAATAAGGGCTAAAGCTTATTAAACGAGAAAGTTTTTCTAAAAGTGGGTTAAATGTTGTACAGTTTAAGAGTGATAAAAAGAATCACAAATAATTTATGATTTTTTTTAAAAACGAAACTTATTTGTGTTTGTCAGCCTATTAGTCCTCTTTAATTAGTTTTAACAATGACGAACTGTACTTTCATTTAGAGTAAATTCTGTCTAGTTTACTATGGAGTAATGTTTAATAACTTAAATCAAATATTTTTTAAGTTACATATAAATACTCCTATTAAACAAAAAACTTATTTCACTTGAAAGAAAACAAATGTTAAATGGCCTACTTTTCTGCTGCAAATTGGGCAATAGTTTATATAAACTTTCTTTCAGATCTTAATGTCTACTATTAACCTTTTAAATATTTCCCTCTACTTACGGGACACTCTCTGTATAGGGTTTCTGGTAGGGTATAGAAATAAGATATAATAAATCTAGACCTATATATATATATATATATATATATATATATATATATATATATTATATATATATATATATATATATATATATATATAATATATATATATATATATACAATTTCTTCTACTGTGTCTGATAATTACTTACTATGTATCGTAATTTAATGTAAAACTACGATTATTAAAAAACTATTTTTTATTTTTTTCTTAAATGCAAATAGATGAAAACAAAAAAAGAAGAAATGATGTAAGTAAAAAAAAATAATCAAATTAATAAAGTTAGTTTTTCGCATCTTCAAAGACTTGCAGCATCGTTCTATTGAGACAGAGATTCTACTGAAACTTTTTCGACGGTAACCTTTTTCAGAAGTTTTTTTGGAGTCCATTTTTTAAGTTCTAATTCGCATTTCCTTCGTATTATTTGTGTTTTTTTTTTTTTTGTTCATTAACATCTAAATAATTTTACAAACACATTTCTCCTCATAACCTCGATCTTCATTTTTAGACTTTAGTTCTGCTAGATTCGCAATCAGACTTGGCGACGTGGAGCATACGGCCACAGAGCAAAAACGGACATACTCGACGAAACTTCTCAACCAAATGAAAAAAACATTATTTGAATAATTACATATTTATTTGTGATGGACGTCTTAATCAGGTGGTTTTGTCAACCTTTAATTTCAAAATAACTATTGAAATGGTATTGGATATCCTTCATCAATTGCTCGATTAACACTATGTTCATGTAAAATTGTCATGCTTCAAACACGAATATGAAGGCAGATTACAAATGTATTGTAATATTCTGTAAAACAAGTACATATATAAAGTATCTTATTTTAAGCTTAATAATTATATTACGTGGATATATCTACTATCATGCAAAAGAGATTAATTCTAAGTTCTATCCTTGTCTAAAAAAAAGGTTCATAAGTCGTTATTATTTTAATTTTTTCTAGGAAGGATTATTAAGGTCTTAACATTAATAATCCTTTTTTCACCATTCTTTGCTACGTACGGTTCAAATATTTGTTACCCATTTTCAAAAGCTGCTAAGGTATTAAATATTTTAGTATTAATAATAATAACAATTATTATTGTATACTATAACACTATACCCCGGCATTTTGCTATTGTGTTATTGTCAGCGGGACTGTTATATTCGTTGTTGCTTATATTCTTTTAATAGTAAAAATATCGTGGTTGAGTCTGTTAAGTCTGCGGGGATCTCCCCTAGTGGTTGAAAACCGAAACACAGTTTTACGGAAAGTACATATTAGCAAAAATTATTATTACTTTCACTTACGTATACATGTAATAAATAGTAAGGGAAAGTATTGCGATCGTGAAAATTTTTGAATCTGAGTTTTCAACGGAAATACACGTTTTGGGGTCCCATGAGTCCAAATAACCAAGTCCCGCTAAAAGGTCTTAAATGAAATTTTCTTGCTAAATGTAAACTTTTAAAATATTTTTGAGTTTGAAAAAATATTTAAAATCCACATAATCAAGGCAATAATGACATTGTTTAAAAACTATTTCATTGTACCAGTGTGAAAGAAGAAGTAAAATATAAAATCATTTCATGGATGTATAAAGCATATATTTATAACCTTAAATACATTTATTGTTTAATAATTCTGGATTTGATATTATATTTAAATAATTAGGTATTAACATCCGTTTATTCCGAAATATTGAGAAAATTAAATTAGTGAATACTCATATATATGACAATAATAAGACCTATTTGGACTTACGGAATTGAGCTTTGGGGCTCCACTAAACCGCCGAATTCCTCTCATATCCAATCCTTACAATCCAAAATCCTTCGTAAAATCCTCAACGCTGCTTACTTTGTCACAAATTAAATCATCCTTATACACCTTAATGTTCCATATGTTTCCGATTTGGCCCAATCCAGATATCTATCCTTCCATAACAAACTGCATAACCATCCGAATCCTCTCGTTTCAAACCTTGCTTCCTCCTCGATCCCTGATAACCCTCCGAGGCGTCTGAAAAGAAGATGGCCTCGGGACCTTCTAATATAGAACTTTAATTTGAGTTCTACCAATGGGTAGTTTCTCTTCATGTTGTGCATGTCATGTTACCAATGTCACATTTACTTGTTGTATTTTCCATGTAATACAGTTGTAAATTTCATTAAAATAAAATATGAAAAAATAGTGAACTTGATGAATCTTCCCTTTTCCATATTCCAACAGTATCCACTATTTCATTGCACTTGTGTGAAAGAAGACGTGAAATATAAAAATATTTCATGGATATGTTTATAACCTTAAGTACATTTACTGTAGTGTAGTTTAACAACTCTAGATATGATATTATATTTAAATAATTAGGTATCTTTTGGCCGTTTATTCCAAAAAAGTGATCTTTTAGAAAATCAAATTACTGAATAATTTGATGAATTTTCCTCTTGTGAAATACCAACATTATCCATTTACAATTAGTGTGACAACTTTAGACCTATTCATGGCAGACAATGAAAATCTCGTAATTAAATTTTAGTAAAATTTACAACGGAAAATAACAGTTTAATAACTAATAGTCCTACAATCGATAATCATTTATAAGTTAAATATTCAGATATACTTTCAAGTCTCTCTAGGCATATATATTGGAACTTTCGCTTGACAGAATGACTAACTCCAAATTCAACATTCTTTATTATTAATTTTAGTGATGTTTCTAATGGCAAAATTTATACTTTTATTCACAGTTCTATATTTCAACACTGCAATCACCTACTCTGCAATCAACTTACTCATTGTTTGTGTAGATATAACTTCTTCAACTAGAAATATCACTAAAATGACATTACTCAAAAATGTTGACATTGGAGTTAGTCATTCTGTCAACTGAAAGGCTCAGAGATTGAAGTTGTGTGTTTATAAAAGCAGGTGGTATTATAATTAGATTTTTATTTCCTACCGTCGATATAATAAATAGACTTTTTGTAATTATAATGGTCTTAATGACTTGTTATCTGTAAGCTTTAAGCTTTAGCTCCGTTTAAAATGTACTTCAAAAATTTTATAATAGTCCAACATCGCCAGAAAATAATTTCTATTCAAAGTAGAGCGGTAAGTGAAAGTTTTGTGTAGCGCGCAACAGATTTTTTTAAAAACATTTTAAAACCATGCTAAGTTTTTATAGTACAAAACGAATAACATTTCTTATATCATTAGGTATCCGCTTTCGCAAATATGCATCCGGTCTATAACAGATAATTAGGAAATGAGCTAATCGTTCATGAAATATTTCGTAGGTCATTTGATTATCAATTACCAGGAAATAATTAATATTACACAAACAGGTAGTAAGGTTGCGCAGTTAAGGAGGGGACACTACGATCCCAAAAAAGCACCATTCTCATTTGTTCTTTGCCCTGGAGCTATGGAAGCATACATCACTAAATATTATAACGCCACATCTAATGGTGAGTAATGTTCAGTTTTATGTTGTCCTTATGGCTAACAAGTTTCCCTAGAAATTTATTTCTTAGTAACCTAAAAAGAAAACAAACCTGGGTAACATAAACCCTCCCTCACAGAATATCTATAAATCCTAATTCATCCTATGTATTATATAATTACAATGAGATTAAGATTATTTTCTTAGTAATTTTAATCTCTCTCTCTCTCTCTCTCTCTATATATATATATATATATATATATATATATATATATATATATATATATATATAAAATTGATTGTATGTCTGTTTGTCCTTTATGCATTACTAAACCATTCATCCGATCGCTATGAAACTTAGGGAAGTTGTTGCGTACACTCTCGCGAAGGTTTTTGACATAGTACAAGCGTCCTAAGATAATTACATATGTGTAAAAAAAATATCCCTACAGACTGTCGCGCCAAAACGGCTGGAACGATTTTAACGAAAGTTGGCTAAAGTCTTCCCCTTGAAACCCTTTTAATTTATTTGTATAACATACTTTCCCGAAAACAAGCTGAAAAAAATGTTACGATGAATTCAACATTTTATTTGCCAATAACTATAAAAAGCACACATTTTTTATACCTCCCCTTTGAATACTTCCTGAATTCCCTACAAAATAGAAAAAATCATCGAAATTGGACGATTCGTTGCAGAGATTTTTAACATTTACTACTGTTTCTTTGGGAAAATATTCCCCTCCCCTTTTTTTTGGTTATTGATTAACCGAAATTTTTATGATTAATTGACATGATCATTTGAAGAAGTGATATCATACTGTTTATGTAGGTCAATACTATTATACCCTCTTTTTATATTTTTTTTTTATTTTAATGAAATTTACAACTGTATTACATTAAAAATACAACAAGTAAATGGTATTTACATGGTCATGGTTACATTGGTAACATGACATGTAAAACATGAAGGGAAACTACCCATTGGTAGAACTCAAATTAAAGTTCTATATTAGAAGATCCCGAGGCCATCTTCTTTTCAGACGCCTCGGAGGGTTATCAGGGATCGAGGAGGAAGCAAGGTTTGAAACAAGAGGGTTCGGATGGTTCTGCAGTTTGTTATGGAAGGATAGGTATCTGGATTGGGCCAAATCGGAAACATGGAACATTAAGGTCTTTATGGATGATTTTGTTTGTGACAAAGTAAGGAGCGTTGAGGATTTTACGAAGGATTTTGGATTGTAAGGATTGGATACACGAGGATTTCGATGGTTTAGTGGAGCCCCAGAGCTCAATTCCGTAAGTCCAAATAGGTCTTATTATTGTCATATATATGAGTCGTTTGTAATTGATTGAAAGCTTAGAGCGTTTGTCCAGTAAGTGTTGGAGTAGTCGGAAACGTCGAGCGGTTTCTCGTCGTTTCAGTCTTGTATAAGGATTCCATGTGAGTCGTTTGTCGAGGTGGAGTACTAGGTAACGGATTCGATCAACTGGGATAAGTGGGGAATTGTTAAAGAATACTGTAGGACAGGAGGTCATAGGTTTGCGACGCAGGGTAAAGGTAATTTGATGGGATTTATTGGAGTTTATTTTAATCCTCCAGATACCCTCTTTAAATTCAAATTTATATTTTCCCCCAATGTATTCGGTAAGTAGTGTGGTACATCTCAAATATTCGATATGCTATTATTTAAAAATATTGAACCTTTGAGTAATAATTATCACCGTTTATGTTCGAGATTCCTTTGGAAATCAGTTTTTCATCGATTTTAGTTTATTTTATTTTTTAATAAATTTAACATTACATTTGAATAAAATTGTGCCGTGTGCCGTTTCATAAGGTTTCTTTTACGAGTAAGGTTTATTTTCCCACTACAGCTTTTATAACTCTATTTTAATCAAGTTGTTGTTAAGAAACAGCGGGCAAACAAATATCTTACGAGGAGTATGCGAAATCTTTTGAAGGAAGTGGAAGGCAGTAAGTTTCGACGAGATGGGGTCCATCATGAAGTTTAAGACGGATGTTAATAATTTGATAAAAATGGATCTGTACTGCAGACTTATAACAAATCTTTTTTTTTTAAACTATTTTGGAATAATGATTCTATTGGAATTGATGTGTTGAACAGAGATGCCCAGGGTGGAGGACAACTTCGCCCTCAGCTCTAGCTATAGCCATCTCCCAGTCGTCCTCTTATGTTACTTCTTGGTGGTGAAGGCCTTCGGGCCGAAGTGGATGAAGGATAAGAAGCCGTTCGTCTTGCGGGAGGTCATCATGGTCTATAACCTATCACAAGTCCTCGCCAACGCCTATCTACTCTATTTGGTAATTTTATTATTTACTGATACATATTTTTTTTTCAACTAACATTTAATTTTGTTATATTATTAAAAATTGGTTTATTTACCAAACTTCTTACAAGAATCATAACCAGAATATCTTAAAATGTAACCTTGAAAATGAAAAAACATATTTCAATCGACTAACGACAATACATAATCTAATACAACAATAAATTACGATTAACCTAAATCTTGAAGAAAGAGAAATTTGAAAAAAAAAATAATGAATAACATAAATAACAAAAAATATATAAAGACAATTCACAAAAGAAATACAAAAAGATCTCAATTATTGACAGAAAAATATGAGGAGTTGATCGGGGGGTGCGGTCAAATTAATGCTAAATTAAACAAGTAGAATTATTTAATTTTTGCCAACGTTTCGACCTACTTCGCAGGTCTTCATCAGGGCTACAAAGATACAAAACATGGTGAAAATAAAATAAATTAATACAAGTAGATATAAAATAAGAATAAGTTGTCTGATGCAGAAATAAAAAGATAATATCAGAGATATCTTTTTATATAGATACCTTTTTATTTCTGTATCAGACAACTTATTCTTATTTTATATCTACTTATATTCATTTATTTTATTTTCACCATGTTTTGTATCTTTTGTAGCCTTGATGAAGACCTGCAAAATAGGTCGAAATGTCGGCAAAAATTAAATAATTCTACTTGTTTAATTTGGTATTAATTTGACCGCATCCCATGATCAACTCCTTCTCATATTATATCAAAGGTCAACCATCTTTACATAATTACAGAAAAATAATTAAATATATTTCTTTAGATTTCCCTTAAATTGTTTAATTGACTGACACATACAACGAATGTAGTAATGAAGAGGATATTAATGATATGAAGGATAAATATATATTATATAGACAAGACCAATTGATTTCAGATATTTAATTTTAATTTAAAATAATATATGTACATAGATAATTATAAATTGTCCACATTATATTGAAAACTTTATTTTTTAATCGAGTTGAAATTAACAATGCTATATATTTTGAAATTTGCTTCTGAAAAATTGTTTCTCTTATCACTTGCTAAGTAAATTCATTAATTGAGAGAAAGAGCGTTCAACATGAACTGATGTAAGGGGGCTCATTTTGTAGCAAGCAAATACTGTTAGTTCTTTGTAAACATTATCAATTATACCGTTAATGCAGTCCTCATATTTTTCTATAAGAGCATAATCTAGTGCACCTCATAGTAACAAAAATCAAAATCACGCAATCTAAGCCAAAAACGGCAAAACGTACAATTTTGTGCAATATAAAATTTAAATATGTTAATCTACCGGTCCTGAAACGGATAGATATTCAGGTCCGAGTTTTTTATAGTCAAGCTAATAAAATGTACAATAACATGAGGATCCGGTCTCTAATTATAACACAGAACGTTTGCCAAGAGAACACAAGAACATTAGTTTAAGAAGCAATTATATTAATATAGTTATATTTTAATATTAGGAAATCACATCAAGGACAAATGTGGCTTAAATATTCCAGGCCATCTAATCAACAAACTCTCTAAAAATACCTGTATTCTTCTCTTAATAAAATAACAATAACATGAAGAAACCTTCTTTGTTTACAACAACTGAACAGCGTTGCCACTTATGATGCACCAACTTAACATACTCCCACCTTTACAATTTATCCTTTAAATTATAATCTAATTTAAAACAACAAAATTTATTCTGTCCTCTGTTGTAAAGTAATCTTTTATTTTCATTGAAACAATTCTCAAATCTGAAGATTTGTGGTAGAAACCACAAGTTGAATTTGTAATCAAAATGGATGGAGCCACCAATGGTATTATCAGAGTTTATGCATTCTATATTCTCATTTTCGTTTTTTTTTTGTTTTGTTTTTTTTAATGGGCTCCACTGAGAGCCAGTTTATCTCTACTTTCTGCCTTCTCTCTCAGAAAGTTAACAGCCTTTCTAGGGGAAAGGGAGAAGGTGTTATTTTAATTTTCCTTGTCTATTTTCTTTTTTAATTTTATTATTATTATTATATTATTACTTATTATATTATTGTTTTATTATGTTATTATCTTTTTTCAATGCATCAATAACATTGTTAATAAAAAGAACTATCCACCGAGAATAGTTTTAATGATTTATAATTAAAAAAAGACTATTCATAGTATGTAAATTCTTAATGAAATATTCAATGCCGCCCATCCCGATTAGTGTTGCCCAAATGCGAGACCGACACGAGTCTTGGTCTTGCAAACTCTGTCTGGGTCGTGGTCTTGGTCTTGAGCAAGAGTCTCGCAATTACTTATTAGCTTATTACTATAGAGATATTACTGTAATTTTTTAGATAGGAGAAACCTAACTAAGCCTGAATGAAAAATTAGAGGAATTAAATGCAAAAGTTTATTGGTTATTCCAATTATTAACATGTAGTAACAAGGATTGTCAAGTATTAGTAACTATTTTGCCTTAATTTTTATTTAAAAAATTGATTTTTTTTACCAGTCCTGCTCTTGGTCTTGCAGCAGTTAAATGGCCTTCGTCTTGGTCTTGCAAAGTACAAGACCAAGACCAAGGCCACTAGCAAAGTGCTAGACCAAGACCGATTTTGGGCAACACTAATCCCGATACTTCTATTTAATTTTATTTTCCTTAATTATTTCCCTATTTTCCTTATTTATTGTTTACATTTCCTTATTCATATTTTCTACCTCCGCTCTTCTCTTTCTCTCCTAATCTCGAAATATTTCTGCAGGTAAGGCAGATTTAGCTACATAACAGAGGATCAAAGTGTTTCTCTCTTCCTAGTAGATCCCCTACTGCTTTACTGTACTTTTATACTTTGAGTAGTTGAAGAAAAATAACATTATTAAGTTTTGTATAATTCTGATTTCTATTAACACATATATCTCATTTCAGGCCCTCAGCTATTGGGGATTCGATATACTCAGATCCTGGAACCATGTCTGCAATCCAATCACAGAAACCATCGGATTCGATTTAAAAAATCAATACAGAGTAACATATAAAAACATTATATCTATAATTTATCATACGATAAACAACACAAAATCAAATTTTATATTTATAACTATTATTCACTTTTCAGTTCATGGAGGTCATGCATTATTACCACATCACTAAAATCGTCGATCTCCTAGATACCGTAAATATTTACTTTTATATAGATTTAATTGCCTCGTACAGATTAAATGGAAATAGTATAATTATGTGACTGATTTTTTTATGAAAGAACTCTACTGATTTTTTTTCTACATAAAATATATTGAAATAATATACTAAAATATGATTTTAGGTATTCTTCGTATTGAGGAAGAAGGAATCCCAAATAACAACGCTTCATCTGTTCCACCATTCAACTATGGTTGTAAATTCCTGGTTAACAATGACACCACTAAGGGGTAGCCAGCTGATTTTAATTTATTATTTATTTATTTTTTCATATTTAGGGATCTTTCATGTTTTCATTATAGGGCATTACGAGTTAGAAATTAAATTCCTTTAGAGTTGTAATTTGGCGGTATGTTTTCGGTTTATGTTTACTTTGTCTATACAACTTCGAGGCTTATTATTCTCTGTTTTTGTTTTTTATTATTAAATGTTTTCATTTGAATACTCGCTTGATGAGACACGTGGGTCTGAGAATAACAATAAAGTGAGTACTTCAACACATCAATTTCCTGGTGAATCTGTGAAGAAAAGATTCTCTCAGTAATTACTAATACTAGAGAAGCTAATTACACTTTCTTCTTTCCTCTAACCAAATTGTGTCAGTGGCTATCTTCTTGGACGAATTCGACGACCGTTCGTTTAGATTAGTTTAATATTGTTATGCCAATAATTGCCTAGAAAAAAGTGTTAAAAGATTTGAGAGGAAAATTTTCCACACGATAACCGGAGCGATCAAGGATCAGAGTACTAACACGTGGAGAAGATAGACCAATAAAGAACTGCTTACAGAAACTGTTCCATCAATATCCAATGATATAAAGGCACGGGGTTAAGATGGGTGGGGCATGCAGCTCTTAGCGGTCCATCTGGAATCCTCTACGTAACAATAAATACCTCAATAGAAGACAAAAGACAACATGGAAGGTCAAAAAGCAGATGGAATCAACAAAGATACAATACAGCTGTGCAGATAAATGGAAGGAAATAGCCCAAGACAGGCAGAGATGGAGCAGGTTTATTAATGCGGCAAAAAATCTACATGGTCTGTAATGCCGACAGAAAAAGAAAAAAAAAAAAAACAATAATTCGTTGTTATTATAATTTTATTTACCTCGTTGCTTGCATATACATATATATTTCTTTTTATGTCTCCTGCTAATGTGCAGCCTAAACCATTTCTGCATGAATCTCTTTGGTTCGTTTTGGTTGCCAGTTTAAAGTGGACATAAACATGATGGCTAATCATTATTTTTGTGGATTACTGCAATTTTAAAGAAATACAAATCTCATGAATATCATGGTTCATTATTATAGATATAGATTAATATAGATTTTTAAAATACCCATATCTCCCTGAAAAAGTACGTTTCCTACGTTAAAAAAATATCACTTATTCTGTAAGAATCTTCATTTACAGTATACGATCAATTTTTTTCATTAGGCTAATAGTTTTTTTTAAAGATAGTACATAGGTTATTATTATATCATGAGCCGCTGTTATCACAATTTACTTAATTTTGCAAAGCTGGAAAGAATTTATATTTTAATCCTAAGTGTCAAGTGCTTATCTTCACTTGGTTCTGCACTCCTAATAAGTACAATAAGTATTTTATATGTCTCTCATAGGTGTCACATTGTTTTTAAAATTAATTATTATACTCTGTAATTTCTCGTTCGGTTTTCAAATTAAGGGTTAGCTGCTGTAGTTTCGTCAATATTTTGTTGCGTAAATATAGATCTATGAAAGGGCTACGAAATGCTAATTGAAAAATTTCATAACTTCTAGAACTCATGAACGTCACACATTCAGTAAAATTAGGGTATATTTCATAAATGGAGAACCTTTTCACTATCACTTGAAACCATTGTAAGGCTTCATAGTTAAAATGGAGGCTGCAATATGTTTTTAGATTACCTGTTGTTTTTGTTTATTTATATTTATAAGTAAATATACACCCATGTACATATATTCAACTTTTAATTCTATTAATTTTCAATTTTTTGTAATTTAATTAATTAAATATTAATTAATTCTAATGATATATTAATAAATATTACGCAAAAACAAATGGAGGCCGCAGGTTTCCCACTTGTGATATATTTATATCGTACAGACTGGAAATAGCAAAAAATTATAAATATTTCTTATAATCGATGATGCTGCTAGAAGACATTGGTTTGGTTAAATATTTAATTTTTAATGTTGAATTTTAGTAGCGACAAATTAAGATTAAATACTCAATAGGTAGATTTATTTTGAATATGTGGAGTGTTCTTTGGATTTATTAACTTACATGGAGTATCCTCTTCAAACTTTTCATAATTCATTCTCTTTCATCTAATCTAAAATAGACCTTTTAATACATTCCTTTTAATAGACACTTCAGGGAAAACCTTAAATTCAGTAGTTTTAAATATTTGTATAGTTATTAATATCGGTGAATTTTTTTTACATAAATTTTTAATATTTTCAGAGCAAGTTAGCGCCTTATTTGGAGTTTTAAACTTGATCGTCCACGTCTTCATGTACACATACTACTTCCTGGCAGGTTTCGGTCCCAAAGTCCAGAAATATCTGTGGTGGAAGAAGCACCTTACGAGGATGCAGTTGGTAAATGAACAATATGCAGATATAATTAATAAATAGAAGCATTTATAGTTAAATAACTCAACAGATTGCATTATAAAATTAATTTATTATGTGTTCGTAAAAAGATCTGGTACGGTGCGCGCATCACACAACTTTCACTTTCCATCCTTCTTTTAGAAGAAATAGGTATTTTCACGCAAAGAGAGGAGAAAGTAAAAATCACAGACGGTACAAAATATTTTTTATCAATTACCACATCTTTTTCTCAGCCATCTAATATATTATACTTATTTAATATGAAATAGATATTTCATATTAAATAAGTAGGTTTCAGGTTCGAATGTAAAATGATTAATTATTTCAAATAACAAAATAAAAGTACTTAAGTGGAAGAAATTTTGAAAATTAGATATTTAAGCCAAGATAGAGAATAAGACCTACATTATATTAAAAACCGTTTATTTTTACACTGCTTTAATGAATTTAAACAAAATTGCTAGAGCCGTTTTTGTGAAATAATAATAATACATATAATAAAAAATAATACATTTCACAGCGAATCTACGGGGAGAGGGTATCTTTCAGGCTAAAGCCCTCCCCCTTTCCCCAAATAATAAAATATGACCATGTCTTATAAGAAAAATATTAAAATGTTACCTATAAAGGCATTGTTCTTTATGTAATTATATTTTATAGGACTTTAAGAATCACTTAAACATTATTCATATAGGTAATTAGTTAGTTTCTATTTCTTTCCAAGTAATTATCGTTATAAATAAACAAAAAAATCTTTCGGGCTGAAGCCCTCCCTCAAAATTAAATCCTGGATCAACTACTGCTACATTAATTTATTTTCTCATTTGTTCACTGAGCAATATATGCAGTGCGAATTTAGCCCAAAAGCCAAAATTAAAATAAGAACTATAGTGTTTATAGTTTTTTTTTAGTACAAATGTTTTTTTTTTTTGTTTTTTTTACCTATGTACAAAGTTGTGGAGAAAAAAAAATTAAATTACAACCTAGCATTTTCGAGAAATAATAATAATACATATAATAAAAAATAATACATTTCACAGCGAATCTACAGGGAGAGGGGAGCTTTCTGGCTAAAGCCCTCCTCCGATGGCTTTCCCAAATGGTAAAATATGAATATGTCTTATGAAAAAATATTAAAACGTTATCTATAAATGCATTGTTGTTCATGTAATGATATTTAATAGGACTTCAAGAATAACTTAAAATCCATTCATATCTATTGGTTAGTTTCTATTTCTTTCAAAGCAATTATCGTTATAAATAAATAAAAAATCTTTCAGGCTGAAGCCCTCACCCAAAATTAAATCCTTGATCCACTACTACTTCATTCCAAAATTAAAATAAGAACTACAGTGTTTATATTTTGTTTTTGTTTTTTTGACCTATGTACAAAGTTGTGGAAAAAAAAAAAGAAGTTTTTAAAATTATAACCTGGTGGATTGACTAATGTAAACAAGTTTTTAATCGAATGTTTAAATTCCTAGGTGCAGTTCGTTTTGATGCTTGCAATTCTTGCGAAGATGAAATTGATCCAATGCCAGTGCAGTCCTTGGTTCTGGAGTTTATGGGCGTTCAACATATCAGTCTACTTTGGACTATTCCTGAACTTTTATATTTCCTCTTACAATAAGAAAAGAGAAAAATCACAGTAGTCAAAATAAAAGCAACAATATCAATCATTGTTATATCCAATATATAAAAGTGTGATCTGATCTAATTTCTGAAAGGAACTTTCAAGCACTTTATTTGCTATTTAAAACTTCTATTTTGACTAATGCAAACAAATTTTTAACCAATGTTTACCTTCCAGAGTGCAGAAATTAAGAGAAAATAAATCATGACTCCAACATTAGAATATATTTTTAAATGCATGTAATGCTTGAAAATTATTGAATCATTGAAACACTCAGATCAGAACATACTTCGGATCAACTACCTGCCTATTTTACCTTAATTCCTAATCTCCTATGACATAAAAAAAATGTTCAATGAAAAAGGCTTTATTCAAAGCACTGTAGGATGAAAGAATCGTTTACGATATATTTCATATTTTAAAGCTTTAAAAGGACTTCCATTCGCCAAACTTTTTCAAAATTTATGTAGATGTCGTTTCAGAGATGCAGAACAAAATATGGGAAAGTGTGTATAGGTTTAAGGAAAGATGTTTGTATTATAAACATAATGTTGACTGATAATTAAGTAATCCTATCCCAAGAAGACATCAACTATAAGGGAAAGTGCGACCCTCGAATCTTCTCCTATATGTCAAACTTGTGGAACTTCACTAACTACAAAACATGTTCTAACAGAATGCCGAGCTTACGAACGAGTTAGAATATCCCGTGGATTGCCAAACGACCTACATATTATTTTACAAGACAATGCTCATAATGTCGACAAACTGTTTCATTTTCTGAAACTTGCAAAATTGGACAATGGAAATTTAATACGAAATAAGGTGATAATGACCACCCTGGTGGTTGATAACACCCTGGATCGAGAAATTTAAAAAAAAATATTTTAAATGACATTTAGGTCCAGGATAACCACAAAGAGAATGGATATGAAAGAATACTATAATTAAGTAAATCTAAAAAGTTCAACTCCATGGTGTCAAATAAGCCTTAATGTAAACATGTAAATTAGCCATTTGTAAATGATTGGAAGCTAGTAGCATTAGATAATTGTCGAAGTAGTCATAAAAACTTAAAATGCAGGTCCAGATAGAGTCTTAAAAGCGGGTTTTTTCAAGGAAGGTGTAAAACACTTAATAAAATGATAATCAAAAATAGGATATAAATCAGATTTAAAAGTTAAAGTAAAAGAATAATGGTTATCTAGAACCATTTATCATTCTCGAGTCTAATGACACCAGTTCGAATCCGGCCTCGGGGCGAGGGGAGAAGTTGATATTTATTTTGTGGCGGACCAACTGTATAAATCTCAACCTACCCACTTCGGTTAGAATAGGTTTGGTTGTACTTCTTGAATAACCTCCTCCTCCCTCTTCCCCATCGTATTCCAGAAATGGAGAGGTGAGGTATAATCTGGGGGGAGGGAGGGAAAGGGTCATTTATTTTAATCCTTATTTTTATGGCATACTTCAATATTTGTGATACATAACTGAAGACATTTGAATGTAATAAATGGATTATTACTCACTTATATTTACAGGTACGACTGCAGCTCGTGATAGCGAAAATATAAGCTTGTTGGGGGTACTTGAAGATATTTGTAAGTTCCGGAAGCCAGAAACGGACATAAACCTGTTTTAAAAAATAAATTAACTTAAAAAATATATACATATAATTGTATGAAGCTATACAACGAAATTAAGCAATCCAATTTAAAATAGTGAACTATAATCATGTTCTGCAATAGTATAATGATTAAGTAAAATGCCATATAAAACCGAAAACTAGGGATTAAAACTTGTATTGTAACAGTTTCGAAAGAACTTCTTTAAAATTAAGTTCTGCATTTATTGTAAAAGCTCAACTTTTAATTGTTTATGTTATTTTTAAAAAATACGTCAAATGAGAAATAAACAGTGAGTAGAAAGTTAAAGCCTGCTGCGATTCATAGTTTCCTTCTAGGGGCGCTAGTTGCATTGATAAAGCTAGTTTATATAGAAATTTTCTAGGACTCAAGAATGTGCCACTACGAATCTAAAAGTTTAAGAAGGTAAATTTTTTGTTTATATATAATGTATATCATCAAACACAAATAATTATACTTGAAGATGAGCCAGTAAGAATTTTTGGAGGAAATAAATGTTTATGTGGTCCAAAAGAGCACCTTTTTATTTAGCAGAAAACCTTTTTATATACCTTTAACAAAAATCTGGAAGAGGTGAGGCGGAGATTTCCATTCTCCAAACTTTACTCCAGACAATTATATTCACATAATGGCAGCGAAAGACGGAACTCGGATCTTTATAGTGGAACTAGATACAGAAAGAGACAATAATAATCAAAAGTCCTAAAGATTTCCGATTACAGTTGAGTGGATTCGATTCTTCCACCGATCAGTTAATATGTGTTTCGCAGCGGTCTCCAGAAATGAATCTTATCTTTTCGTACTGGTTAAAAATTACCATTTATCGGTCTAGTTTCCCGACCAATTACAGTAAGAATAGGAAGAAGAAAATGAAGTCGTCAAGCTGTCCACCAACAGATTATAATTACCTGTAAATGTTTCTAAGGAATAATAAAATAGCACTTACTAATCTATCCTATCAGAATATCGATCAGGCACAACACAACCAAGTTTCTGGAATGCCCTCTTTGTCATATCCAATTTAAGTTAATTAATTAACTCGAGTACCAACTTTAATGTTTGGCACATTCTTTAGTGTTGGCACACTAAATAGATAAAAGGAATTCTTGACCTCTTTGGACTGTGTACACTCAATATGACAGCAATCAGCTGATAGTTGAGTAAACTTTCAGTCATGGAGTTCCTTGTTTATATGACTAATTTAAGATAACAAAAATCGTTCAATTCCGTGATAGCTGCCTTAAATATATTTTCACTGATTATCGGTTCTCTCAAATAATTAGGATTAAATGTTACGGTTTATCAGAAAAACTTTTGACCATTCACAAAATTTATTAAATACAACCAACAGAAGTATTGTCAGCACAGTTCCTAATAAAGAAGTAAAGGAATGGAAAATTTTTAGCCAACCAAATAAATTGCCTCTCAATTTCGGAACTTATGGTATTCTTGTTTTGAACAGACCAATATTGGTTTCCCCTAATATTGTAAGCTCATTATGGGATGGGGGTAAGCAAAGAAGTTTTAATTCAAATTTTATGGAATTAAATCTGATATTCATTGTTCAGTTTTATTCATTTATAAAGATAAATAAAAGTTATTCACCAATCATTAGTTTTATTATTGTATATTGTTTGCATGTTATTTACTAAGTTCATTATAATTTAAAATTTACTGGAAACGAATAAACAACTAAGTGTTATAACATAAATGTTGAACAGTGCTGTGTTCAATATTAATATTATGTTATAACAATATTATCTACAAAGTTTCATCAATGGATTTTCGATCTACATGCAGTTTAAGTTTATTTTTTAGATATTGAACATGTTAAGACTTGATAAACTTTAAAAGGAATATTTATTTTTTATTTTTTTTTGTTTGATGGGGCAGTATTGAAATTATTTTCTTTTTAATACTGGATGTAATTAAAACTACTGATTTTTATCTCTGTTCATTTTCTATTAATTGTCTTTAACTTTGAAACTTTATAATTATGAATTCAAAATATTTCCAGCTAGTTGCAGAATAACTGTTGATGGAGGAACCAACAGGTGGTTTCATTTTTGTGAGCAACACTGTCTTGATCTTCCTTTACCTACGTGTGTGACTGGAGATTTAGATTCGATACACTCAGAAATACTCAATTTTTGCAAAAAACAGAATGAAGTATCTATATTACACACACCCAAGCAAGATTGTAATGATTTTGATAAAGCATTAAATGTTTTACTTGAAATTTGTCCAGTTAAAGTTAGTAATCAATTAATCAAATTAGTAAATTTTGACTAACCTTTAGCTCTCATCACACTTGCATTTCTACAAACTTACTTCGCAATGTTGCATTGAACATTTTAAGATCATTCTCTAAAATATTTTATTTTATTTACTTATATTAGCCATCTGCCCAAGGGCGTAGCGAGACAAAAAAAAAAAACTCCCAAAATGGAGGAGCAATTTTTTAATTAAAATTTCATGTAGAATCATTCTGTATTGTTGAAGTTGTATTTTTTTCGTAATTAGTTTTTTTTCAAAATGTTGAAATATTAACACAAAATACGTCTCTGTCCATAATTGTTTCAGAAACAGTTGTTTATTTTTGTTATTTTAATTTTCTCTATGACATGAGTCTGCCTCTTGATTTTTTTTTTCTCCTGGCAAATATGATTCAAAGTTTCAAGAAATTCAGCCACAAACATGTATTCAATCATGATACAAAGCATGAAGCAATTATTAAATGCTTTAAACAAAAAGCTATACACAAATCAGCTCATTTCCTGTATCAATGAAATTATATACAAGTAATTAAATACCAAATGAAATGAAGTATTCATCAGTAAAAAAAGATTTTATATCTACCCAGAATTTCTTGTTTTGCTAACATCATGAAGTAAGCCTGGAAGAAAGGTTATCTAATAAAGTTGACAATATTATTTATTCATTTAGAATTTTTCATTTGTTATTATGGTTTGTATCAATGCACATCTGGTTCTTAAGGGATTTTACCTAGTATATCAATTTTAAATGTAGCTTTTCAATTGTTTTTCATTTTAATACATTTAATTAAAAATCCATTCATAAATGTTTTTAGAATCAACTGTATAGAATATTTAAATTAGTTTGGTTTTCAGTTGGATTCCTTCATTGCAATTGTAGAGCATTCTGGTCGACTGGATCATACATTAACTAATATCAATACACTTTCACGTACTCCACTGCAGGGTTTTTTACTCTCTGAATCAGAATTAACATGGCTTCTTCGCCCTGGTTTCCATCGAATTCTCATACCAGATTACTTATGTAACAAAGAAGAATGGTGTGGGATATTACCATTTTCCTCATCGGCCAATGTCACAACAACTGGATTAAAGTGGAATCTGAGTAAGTCCAAAATAGTCAAACGTTATTTTGGAGATAGATATTTAAATAATATATCCTAATATTTGAAGCTGAAGAGTTGGTTTAAATTAGAAAACACCAGTCCAATTTGAAAAAATCTTTTAGCATTTGATATACTGTTTACTAAGAAGGACTTTATAACATCATCCTACAGAACATAGGAAGTTAGCAGTAAACATAAAGATCAATCATTCTAGATATAATAATAATAAGGATTCGCGAACCCGAATGTTAGATGCTGATACCACCTATTGATGTCCACATTCTTCCATCCACTAGGCTCCATCTAAACCTAACCCCGCCAAATCAGCCTTAACGCAATCTTCCCACCTTCGCTTTGGTCTACCCCTCGGACGCTTGCCAGTCGGTACAGCAAATATTAAGTTCTTAGGAATTCTTTTGTTACTAAGCCCAGTGATTTTACATGTCCATTTTATTTGCCTCGACTTAACCATCTCAATTATATTAACCAGATACAGTTCACGCAATTCAGTGTTACATAACATGTTTAGCACTATTAAAACAATTCCATTATATAAAACTTGTAACGTTGTAAGTTAAATTTCTTTGCCAGCTGTAGAAGAAACAAAATAGTGCCAATAATTTGGTTTTTAATAGTAACTAAGTTAACAAGTAGAGCTATATTCGAATTCCAGTTTCATATTTGCACATTTGGTATATTTTTTCTGTCATCAAAATTAAATGATAAGGATAACTAGACTGAATATAATAACTTGAGTTACACATTTGAATTTCTTAAGGAGCATTTAATGCTTGCAGTATCATAATTTTATATCTGCTAAAATAGAGAATTCTTTAATAATATTTATTGACTCGAAATATATAGATTGAACCAAATTCTAGGAAATCATATCAATAAAACTGTTTCCTTGCTATTAGTGGTCAGATTTTGAGAATTTGAATAGCTTGGAAATGGTTATAGTGGTGGGTATATTTATAGAGTTATATAGGATATGTGTATAGTTTTCCAGTAGATGTTTAGTTTTTGAATTATTTGAAGAACAGTTTTTATTTTTGGGATTTTAAAAAAAGTTTTAACCACTTAGAGTATAATTTTTTCTGTTGTTGGGCATATGCAGTATAAGGAGAAATACCAATAAAAATTGCATTGTCATTTTCGATATGTAGTTGTCAATAAGTCAGTGAGTGAATTGCATCTTTCTTTTACAGTGAACTTAATAGTTGCAATAATAAATATTACAAAATATATAAAGTTGTAATGAAATGCAATTTTACCATTATATATGTATATATATAAAAAAAAAAATTATTTACCTGTGGTATTGTCTGATGTACAGAGCATATATAGAACCACACATTTGATGGTTCTGAGAATTTTGATTGACAAAAACTTGTTTAGAAGAAAATACACCTTTTTATGCATTATCATCCTAAAATGTCTTCAGTCTGTTCTGATTTTCTTTTTCAGACAATTCACCAATAGAATTTGGCAAAGTCGTTAGTTCGTCTAATACCTATGATGGAAATCCTGAAGTCCAGTTAACCACAGATGGTACAGTCATCTGGACTATGAGTTATGGAAAAAAACAGTTTCCATAAAATATTCTATGGTCTAATGTAAGGAAATAATTATTTTTCCATGTGCTATAGAAAACTTTAATAATTTTATTTGTTTTTTATCCTCATCTATTATTAATTTTTGATAATGCTACGACTACTGTATATTCTCGTTATAAAAAGACTCAGCTGTTTAACAGGGTTCATATAATTTCTCGTGTTATATATTCTGACACCGAGCAACATAGTATTAAACTAAACTAGTTTTTAATCTTTGTTCTAATATAATTGACAGAACTAAAAATCAATTATTTACTTTTCATTTTAATCTTATCAAAAAAAAAAAAAAAAACCTTGTGAATAACTCAACTTTCACTTACCACTATATATATATCCGTAAGTGATGTGCACTATATATTTTTAGTTATCAATTTATTTTTATATATTTTAATTATCTGGAAAAAAAAAAAAAAAAGGTTTCCATATATTTTCCATGGAAACTGATTTATTGCCCAGTTAAGAATATAAATGTAGAAATCATTAATTACCATTAAAAGACTTTATCTTTTTGTCACTCACTATTATATTCTATGATCTTATATGTTAGATATTCATTTTTCTTAAATCTTTAGATTTCAAACAATACACTATACAAATATATTATTACTATTTGTAGGTATGGCAGGGTTTAAGATATTATTTTAATTATTTATTAATAGGTTTATATATTTTTATTTCATTTTTTAAGTTTAGTAGTTATTCTGTTTTTACTAGATTTATTTATATTCTCTGTATATATGGTGTGAATGAACTCTTTGCTCACTATTACCAATGTTCTGTATTGTAACAGAATATAATATTGTGCAATAAAATTGTTTTAAAGAAAAATATAATACTACTCTTATTTCGTTGGTGTTCTGGCAATGCACTTCTCCTCTCAAGTTCTGAGCATCTGTAGCTCTTGTGCTTTCTTTCAGTCTCCACTGGCTTCCAATACCAGTGGCTGGAAGAAAAGCACTGGGATCTTTAAGAGTCCTGTTTTACCCGCCACATGTGGAGGACAAGGCTTGATTTGGAGTTCCCCTGGTGAATGTTGTATTATTGCGAAATATTGTACATAAGTATAAATGTGTTTAAGAACAATTTGATTTTTGAAGTGCACATTTTCATTTTCTTTTCATCTTATTATTATGATTATAATCATTATTTTATTTCCGTATGTATGTATGAACACTTGTTTCCCTTCAATGTGGCAGGTTATATTGTTATTCAATAAAATGTTTCTTGGAAATTTGTTGTCAACATGCAAAAATATTTCTCATTTAGTTAATTATCAAATTCTTTCATAGCTGATATTTTCCACTTCATCCACTTGTTTCTAATAAGTAACATTAAAGGCACTTTAGAGGAAGAAATTGTGAATATTAAGCATTTGAGCTGTCAGACTATTTCAATGAAAATCATTGGTACAATTTTCGACAAAATTTAGTCAATGTATAAAATTGATGATATAAAGTACCATGCTTAGTCAATTTTTACAAAAAAAATTGCTGTTACACCCCAGCCATAACCTATCTTTGATATATAATTTCAGTTTTATTCAAATTTTCTTTTAGAAAAGATACCCATCCATAGGAAAGTCACAGTCCTTTATGAAAAACTTGGTATTTGGACTCAGAGGACCTTGACACTTATTTCCATTGAAAATTTGAATCAAAATTTTTCATTATTCCAATACACTAATACTTGATATTCTTGATATATATATATATATATATATATATATATATATATATATATATATATATGTATACATATATATACACATACATACATACATATATGGCAGTAAGTGTGACATACAGTGGCCAAAAAAAGTATTCGTTCACCATATGTTTTAAGCTAAAAATCTTTTTATTCATTTTTTCAACATAAACTAATCATAGATCAAAATTAGAAACTTCATTTTGCATTAATTGTACAAAAAAGTAAAATTTTATTACTCATAATGTATAAAAATGTCAAAATTTTCAAATACGAAGCACAAAAAAAATATTCATACATTTAACTAACCCAAAGAAATTAATTAATATCAATCTCAATTGATTTTAATATTTTGTAGGGTACCCTTTCACGTTAATCACAGTATTGAGTCTCCTTGGCATCAGTTCCCGGAGCCTCTTGGACTTTGGTCCACTTCCTTCCCAAGAATTTTTAAGATCGTTTATTAAGTCATTCCGAAAGGAACAAGGATATTTTCGGATTTGTAATTCCAGTTGCGCCCATAAATTTTCAGTTGGATTAAGATCCTGTGATTGTGTTATGAGAATTTTTTGAACATTATACAGCAACCATTGTTTGGTTTAATGGCCGTGTGTTTGGGATTGTTGTCCTGCTGAAACATACATGTATTCTCCATTCATAACTTTCACAAACTTTTATTTAAATTGCACCGCAACACATTCACGTATTTATCAGTATTCATAATCCCGTCAATAAAGGCTAGTTCACCAACTCCTTTGTAGTTCCAAACCATGACACTGCCTCTTCTGTGCTTTACTGTGGGTTGTAGATTTTGGGGTTCAAATGCCTTTTTTTTTCCTCCAAACATTTTTTTCGGTCTGATACTAATATATTATACTTGCTTTCATCTGAAAACAACGTTTTCCCAAAATGTGTAGGGTTTATTTACATGTTCTCAAGCAAACTCCGGTCTTTTTTTTTTTTTTCTGTTTATTTCGTTTATAAAAGGTTTTTTACTTACCGCTCTGCCTCTATAGCTTCATGTAGCCGATTCCTCATGGTTTGGGGTATTACAGATTTCCCATAATCTGACACAATGTTAACTCGAAACCTCTCGAGCACTTAATTTGGGATTTTTTGCCACTTTAAGCACAATTTCACGAGATTTTAGCACTGACAACAAGAGTTTTCTCCCTGGGCGGGATTTATTGTTCACTGGATGAAGTAGTCTGAACTTTTTCCAATACCCAAACTTAAACCCTGTTGAAAATGTTTTACGTAATCTTTAAGATGTGAACTCAATTGTTTGGACCATTGACCATTGGACCAAGGCCATAGCCGAAGAAATATTTTTTTTAGTAATGAACTAAACAAGCGATTTCTCGTGCAGTTTTATCCTTTAATCTTCTGGAGTAACGGGTTATAAATTGAACATTAAGACACTGTTTTAATAACATAAATTATCGTACCATTAACATTTGCTGTAGTGTACGAATCCTTTTTTGTATAAAAATTATTGAAATATTAATTTTATAAAAGTTATAAGAGATTTTAAATTTTGGCATTAAATAAAATTAATGCAAAACGAAGTTTGTAATTGATATCTGTCCTGTTAATAAAAATTATAGTGAACCATTTTGGCCAAAAAGCGGGATGTACGAATACTTTTTTTGCCCACTGCATTTTGGTGCTTCCTTTAAACTATAACTGTATAAGGATACATTTGACTGAAACAATTTTTTTATGTAATCCTATAATTTTCATTAATTGAACATGAAATATATCAATGCACAGCAGAATTCTTAAAAATAGTCATCAACAAAATTTTATGGTTATTCATTGTAACCTAGTAATTAAATAAACTAATTATAAATGGCAACAATTAGCAACTAGTATTTATCTAACAATTAAATTGTTTGGTCAAAAAAAGTAGCTGAAACAAAATCATGCATGAATCACATAGAAATAGAAAACATATATTATAAATAATATCACCACATAAAATTGACTAATGTTTAACATTTTTTTTTCATTGAAGTTGTTCACATTATTTCCTAAATATATTTACAAAATCTACATTATTCTAAAAATCTCTCTCAAAGACAATTAGTTTACATATATACATAATAACATTAAATTATGGTAAAAATGTAAAGGATACATTTTCTAACTAAAAATAAACTCTAAACTGAACTTTAAGTTGGCAGTGATGAGTATTTTTGTAATTTAAAATTGCTAAAAATCTTTCGAAACATGATGTTTCCCAATTTCTGGTAACATTTGCTATTTTTCAATGATTTATTTATTTTTTTTTTCTTCAATGTTTTAGATAGTGATAAAAATGAATACACTTTTATTAGATTACAAATTTGTTAAGATAAGTAGTTACCAAAATTTAACTATTAACTAATGTTGACTTAGACATTTTTTTTCGATTAGGGTGCTTGGCCAATATATGCCTCTTAAGAGACCCAATTTGAACAGTTCTGTAGTCACATAATGAACAGTGTTGAGGCCTATCATTTGTGTGTTTTGCTAAAAAATGTTTTTTCAAATTAGCTGCTGTCAAAGTTCCATAATCACATAGAGTGCATTTGTGGGTTTTTACTTTACTATGTTTAGCAAGAGTGTGCAATTTTATTTGACCCGACTGAACAGCTTTATAATCACAAAATTCACAATGATATGGTTTCTCATTTGTATGCTTAGCTAAGAAATGCTTCCTCATATTGCCTGCCGTTAGTGATCTATAGTCGCAGGAAGTGCATTGATGGGGTTTCTCACCTGTATGTTTAGAATATGTGTGTAATTTCAGTTGAATAGATTGAACTGCTTGGTAGTCGCAAAATTTACATTGCAAGGGTTTATCATTCGTGTGCTTGGCTAGATAATGTTTCTTCAAATTTCCCGAACTAACTGAGCTATAGTCACAAAAAGTACAATTGTGTGGTTTCTCAGTTGTATGCTTGGCCAATACATGCATTTTTAGGTTTCTTGTGGTTTTAGTCTTATAATCACAGTGCTCACATTCAATTGGTTTTTCATTTGAATGTTTGGCTAGAAAATGTTTTTTTATGGCGGTGGATGAGACACTAGCATAATCACATAGGGTACAGTGATGAGGTTTGATCCTTGAGTGTCTTGCTGATATGTGACGTTTCAAACCTCCAGGGTAAGCAGTTTTGTAAATGCAAACATAACAATGATATGGCTTTGTTTCTCTATGTTTAGCTAAAGAATGCATTTTGAAATCAGAATGCAAACTTGTTTTATAACCACATAGAGTACATTCAAGGAGT